AGCTGCCTCAAGTTTCTGCCCTCAGGCCTTCCCCACAATAATGGACTGTAACCTAGAATCATCAGCTGAAATAAACCCTTTTTCTGGTTTTTAGACCTTTCTGTCAGAGTATTTTATCATAGCAATAAAATGAAGCCAGGACATCAACCTTAAATTTTTTTAAGACTGATTTTATTTTTAATGAATCATGTTTGTGTGTTCATGTACACACAAGTGCAGTTGTCCATGGAGGCCAGAGGCATCAGATCACCCTGGACCTGAAGTTACAGACAGTTATGAGCATCAGTGCTGGGAACTGAACTCATGTCCACCCAAAGAGTAGCTCCTGCACACCACCCATGCCTTCTAGGACATCCCAGGTATGCATGAGAGCAAGGAGAGGGATGGTAATGGGTGCAGGAGCTGCATTCTTCACCAGTGATCCTTGGTACAAGGGGAGAGGCAAGGGTCCAAAATGCACCTAAAGGAGACAGCAAGCACAGCTCCCTCCAGTTAGCATCAAAGTGTGAAGGAGAGAGAAAGGAAAGCCAAGAGAGCACAATGGAAAAAGCCAATAATCCACATTCCTGTCACTGAGATACAACCTGTCACTGAGACACAACCTCAGTGCTTAGGGAACAGTCTTGAGACAGAATGACTATGCTCTGCTTGTCATTCTAGAAGAGGAGAAGGGAGGGACAGGGCTGGGAGGGAGGAGGGGATCAGCCCTGTGCTGAAACCTCTCTGCTGTGATAGCTGAGCAATAACCCCTCCTCTGCAGTGATTGTACTCTGGTAGTTCTTATGTGAACTACACCTGGAATGGTATTTCTACATCTACACCACTCAGACAGCCCAGGATATGGCCCAGGTCAAATGGCGATACCCAGAGTCCAGTTTTCTGATATCCACTGATAATGTTTGTACTTTTGAGTGGAGAGATATGGAGAGTTTTAAAGCAAATCACAATGTTAAAAATCTATCTTCAGGTTGTTTATTATTATTTCTAAGTCAGGGTGCTAGAGTGTGAGATGACAACATTCAGGAAAGTTGGTGGTGGTGGCTTGCTCTTATAGAAATCATTCATTCACCCCAACAGAATGTGTGAACATTGGGTAGGTCCTGGGCTCCATGCCAGGGACACAAGCATCAACAGACCAGCTTCATTCCCAATCTCCCAGTTTAGAGCAACAGACAGGCCCACACACAAATGGTGACATTGCCAGGAAGGATAATTGTCCATGTGTACACTCAATGCAGCCAAGTACATACATGCTCATTTTACACATGCACGTTGACATGTATGTTATGAAGGCCATAAAGAAAGATGGGACATAGTGGTTTAAATTAGATATTTGCAGGCATTTGAACACTTGATCCTCAGCTGTCTCCCTTCCTGGAGATAGACTTTGAGATTAAAGGCCTTGTGTCATTTCCTCCCCCCCTCTTTCTCTCTCTCCCTCTCTTCATCCCCCCTCCATCCCCCTCCCTCCCTCCCTCTCTCTCCCTTCCTCCTACATTTGAAGATGTGAGCCCTCAGCTTCTGCTCAGGTTGCCATGCCTACTGTTTCCTGCCATGCCTTTCTCCCTGATAGACTCTTATCCCTCTAGAACCATAATCCAAAATAAACTCTTGCTTCTGTGGGTTGACTCGGGCATGGTACTTTATCACAGCAACAAAAAAGTAAATAACTCAGAGGAGGTTTGTGAATTTCAAGAAAACCTAGTCTACATAAGCACACAGAAGGCATAACTAAGCTAGAAAACACCCCATCTCAGGAAGATGCTGCAGTACAGAAGGCTCATCTCTGCATACTGAGCACACCACAGGCTCTGCTTGGACATAGTTGGTCAGTACTTAACTGCAGCCTGCAGCAAGCTAAGTAAAACTTTCTTTTGTGTGATGTGAGTGTGGGTGAGGCCCGGTGAGGAAGTCTCTGTGAAGAGATTTGAATTGGTGCCATTTAAACATTTCTGCAACAGAGGGCCTGGGCACATGGCTTGGTGGGTGTGGTGGTTTGAATAAAAATGGCCCATAGGCTCATAGAGGGTGGCACTATTGGGCCTGGCAATGGTTGCGCACACCTTTAATGCCAGCACTTGGGAGGCAGAGGCAGGTAGATCTCTGTGAGTTCAGGGCTGGCCTGGTCTATAAAGGATATTCCATGGCAGCCAGGAATGTTACAGAGAACCCTGTCTCGAAAAATTGGGGGTGGGGTGGGGGGAAGAGTGGCACTATTAGGAAGTGTGGCTTTGTTGGAGAAAGTGTGTCATGGGGGGGGCACTTTGAGGTCTCAAATGTTCAAGCCAGGTGTAGTATAACATTCCCTTCCAGCTGCCTGCCGGGACCTAAGGCTTGAAGGGGTTAGGGGAGTGAAGCAGGCTTTGAGGTGAGGCAGGCTTGGGCAGGAAAACAGGACTGAGGAGGGGCAGGAGGAGGGAAATAAAGATGACTCTGCAAGAATGGCTGCCAGGGAGCAGCAGAGCTGTCACAGTAGGAATGCAATGACAAAAAGGTACGCACATCAAAATGTCCAGGGCTCGGACCAGGTAACCACTCTGTACTCATTAGCTGGCTGCTGTCTTATTATCCAAGACCAGAGCCTGTTAGCTCTGTAAGTGACCAGAGAAGAATAAAGTCACAGCAGGCTGGAAAGGTCCTTCTGCCAACCTCACAGCCTCCATGAGGTGGCGGCTACTGAGGAAAACTCACTTCAAGGCTTGCATGTATCACTTGAAAAGTAGCAGTATTTTCAAAGAGAATTTGGCTAAACCCACCTGAAATGAAAATGTCTTCTGTGCTGATCTAAGGTTTCTCTTTCAAAGTTTCAGTTACAAGTCAACTGTTTGTAGCCCAGAGATATTAAATGGGAAATTCCAGAAGTAAACTCCCATCAAGTCTTCAGTTACATACTGTTCTGAGGAGGAGGAAATCTCATGCCTTTCCACTCTATCCCCCCAGGACATAAATCATGCCTTTGTCCAGTGTATCCATACTGTTTATGCTACCCATGCACACTTGTCAGTTAATAGTTACTTCATTAATTGGATGGGGTCTTGGTAGAGCAATGAGTGTATCAAATGATTCTTTTACTTCGTAACTGTTATAGGTATAGAAAAGAAAGATATTACAAGTTTGTAGCTAGGTGTCAAGACAAATTACCCTTCAGAGGAGGCTTACTAAGATAGTTAAGGCAGCAGGCAGGGTTCTGAACAGAGGGGCCTCCAGTTTCAAAGCTCAGGGGGAGTTTCTGGCTCTTAGAGGTTAGGGGATGAGGATTTCATACCACACCAGTGACCTAGCCTGAGTTTAGGAATCAGGCAAGAAGGCTCTAGATATGAGGGTGAAGTTTTAGGTATAGCATCGGGAGCCTGAAGCTGCCTCTGGATGCAAGAGGAGAGAAAAGGACTTCCAGGCCACTATAGTAGTTCTCACCTGTCGGCTCTCACCTGGAGTGAGAAAGGCTGCAAGGGACATGGCTTGACTTCTCCATGGTTGCCACATCTGCTTTCTCTATTATCCTTGCTAGTTAATGTCAAAGCCAAAGTCATCAGAGAGGATGGAGCCTTAGTTGAGAAAATGTCTCTGTAAGATCTGGCTATAAGCAGTACCCCTGCCCTCCTACCCTACCTATCCCACGGCCTCTGCATCAGCTCCTGCCTCCAGGTTCCTACCCTGTTTGAGTTCTTTCCCTCACTGCCTTTGATGATGAACTTTTATATGGAAGTGTGAGTGAAATAAATCCTTCCCAAGTTGCTTGTGGTCATGCTGTTTCACACAGCAATAGTATCCCTTACTAAGACATCTACCTTTTTAAGATTTATTTTTGTTTATTTAGGTATATGTGTGCCTGGTACCCTTGCAGGCCAGAAGAAGGTGTCAGACACCCTGTCCCTGGAGTTACAGACAGGCAGTTGTGAGCTGGGAACAGAACTCAGTCCCCTGCAAGAGCAGCCACTGCTCTTAACTGCTGAACTATCTACGCAGCACCCACATCTGGTTTGTTCAAGCCACAGCATCTAAGGTCTGCCATCAATAAAGACTTCTGCCAGGGCACAGCAGAGAGAAACCCTATAACACTTCATTGAAGCATGGTAAAATACTTAGAAGGCAGGAAGTCACTTGCACTCAGTATTAATCACCTTATGTTTTTTATAAGTGCTCTTCCTGTGACTAACAGATAAATTGCACCACAGGGATGTGTGCATAGTGAACAGAACCATTAGTATAAGAGTTCAGAGTTACCCGAAGATTGGGCACCCACAGTGGGACTTGGGACATTTATTCTAACCATAGAAATCTGAGCAGTGGCTCTGATCTGGACAGGGCTGAGCCCAAGCACAATGGCTGTGTGGCAGCTTTGGTGGTGTCCCCCCTTCCAGTGCCCCCCACACACACACACACAAACACACACATATTTTTTTTGTTGCAGCCACAAAGCAACTGATTCATATTCTGAAGACTTAATCTGTGAAAAGCTCAGATGACCAATGGCTATATCCTATGTAACTCTTCTCTGTTACTGGGTAATATGGAGACCATAAGATTGTGGACCACACAGTAGAGACCCAGCTGTAGTATAATAGCAGAGTGCATGGAGGGATGAGGCAGCCCTTAGTGACTTGGGACCTTCTAGTCAACTTGCTTTTAGTGTCTTCTGGTGTCTTCACCAGACCTGTGTCACTTACTCTGCTCATGAGTCCCATAATGCAATATGGGCTACTTCTATTGTGCTGAGAAACCTGTTCTAACAGTAAAATGCAAACTCCTGGCATGTGCAGGATGGTCTTTGGATGTAAGCCCATGATCTCAGTTTCTGAAAGCCATCACAACTCACCCACTCAAGCCCAAGGACAAGCCACACTGAGAGAAGGGGCACCTTCCAGAAGCAAGGGCTAGCAATTCATCAAGCACCAAATATTGTGAGGAAATAGTGGAACAAAGTCTTAGGCTGAATCATTCACAAGCCAAGTTCCCCAACTCCTGAAATGAGCTGTTGGGAGTAGAGGTTTGGATTGAGAACTGAAGCCCAGGATAGAATGAGTAGGTAACTACATCTGTAACAATCCAAACTAGCAGCTCCTGACCTCGTGTCTGCACCAGCTGGTGTTGGTGGTTTTGCATAAGAGGTTGCCTTTGCTGGCAGTGGCTCTGAGGGGAAAATCTAGGAGGATGGCAGGAAAGGGGGCCACTTAATGTGCATGGATAGGGGTGCTTCTGTCCTTATGAAGCACAGAAAGTCCCAAGGTCATTTCATCCCCACACCCAAGGGCTTTAGCAGCAGGAAGCTCCAAGTATCAAGGGTAGGAAAGGTGCTCTTCCCACTGGCTCTGCCTTAGTGCTATGGGCAGAGCACTAAATGCTGGTTCTCCCATCCACCATGCCCACACAGGAGTCCAGGGGAGGCTTGGGCTGCGTCCACCCTTGGAAGCTTGGGTGCTGGCTTGTCTCCCGTTCTTCAAGTCTTCAGGTCTCTCTGAAAGAAAAGATATTGTAACTTGGACATTGTAACTCTGTGGGCACCTAGATTTTCCATTAAAAGTTATCGATGGCCACTGTGGAGGGCTGGGTCTCTGAGGATGCTGCCAGCTCAGGATGGCTCCCACTCAGAAAAGCCTCTGTACTTTTTGTCTGCCAAAGATTGTCCCCAGACTACTAGGTTCTAGGTCTCAGCTGCATGTTCCTAAGGCCTAATATAAGACAGAACAATTTTGTTTTTCCCTAACTGGATAGAGAAACGTGGGCGGGTGGGGGGGATGAAAATGATGGAGTGGGGACCACTGGGGCTGACTGGGGCTGACAAGGGGACAGTGCTGCCAGGTGACAGGACTCCTGGAAGGAACTCTAGTGAGACAAGTCAAACCTGGGAATCTTCCTCCAGAAGGGAGGGGCTTCAGGCTCTTCCCTGAACTACTTGGAAAGAGATTGGAAGAAGATGTGTCTGGCAGGTCCTCAGTGGTCAGAGGCAGCTGATGACTCAGAAAGCCTAGCCAGCCACCATAGGGAAACCCCTCAGAGAACAGACACTTCCCCATTGCCGGGGAGCCTGCGTACACCAACCTTCCTAAAATGATGTTTGTGAAGATCACCTGATTCCTGCGGGAAGAGGATCCTGGGAGATCTTCAGTTTTAGCAAACAGCCAAGGAAGGGTTTGTGCACCCCAACTTTGCTGTCTGTATAGCCCTCCAGACAGAGTCACGCTGAGGTCCTGGTCTGAGTTGGCTGTGTCCTTACTAACTTGGGAGCCCTTGCTTTCCAAGATCCCCATCTAGTGTGAAGAAGGTTGTAGGACCCATGCAATATAGAGGGCATCCTGTCCAGGACCCCATTGCTGTCATGGCTCCCCAGCCTGCGCCTGGCTGCCCCATATCCCTTAATGGGGAAGCATGGGGGGAGGGGGGCTTCTTTGCTTTGTAACCTCTGGTGGTTTAGACTTTCAGAAGAGGCTTGGTCACGTGGGACCTGTGTTCCAAGTAGCAGCCACAGAAGGCACACTTGCTTTCTGAGGCTCCTGGATCACTTGCCACACCTCCCACATACACATACACATGGCCTGTCCCATCCCAGTCTCGTCGCAGTCACAGTGGCCTCTGCACAAGGAACCCATCTGCCTGCTCAAATGCCCATTTTATATCTAGCAAAGGGAACACAAGTGTTGGCTAAATTCTGTACTGTGGTAATAAATGCATAGTGCCAGAAGACTGCTCCAGCTGGTGACTTCCGGCCGACCTGTGAATAGAAGCCAGGCATACACTGGGCCAGCCCTATGGACTCCATCATGCACAGAAGATGGAGGCAAGGCTGCAGAAATGACTAATGATGCTGACACCTGAACAAGCCCAGGTGTCACCTGCCACTACCCCGCCCACTCCAACATTCTTTAAATGAAGAAGCAGAGGGCTGGGGTTTAGCTCAGTGGCGGAACCCCACCTAGTACACACAAGACCTTGCATTCAGTCCTCAGTACTAAAAAAGAAAGAGAAAATCGGGCAGTAGTGGCACACACCTTTAGTCCCAGCCCTCAGAAGGTAGAGGCAAGTAGATCTCTGTGAGTTCAAGGCCAGGCTGGTCTACAGAGTGAGCTCCAGGACAACTAGGGCTGCACAGAGAAACCCTGTCTCAAAAAAAAAAAAAGGAGGAGAAGAAGGAAGAAGAGAAAGCTTTCATTAAAGCAATAATGAAGAAATAATAATTAGTGCTGGAGAGATGGCTCAGAGGTTAAAAGCACTGGCTACTCTTTGTAGAGGACTTGGGTTTTATTTGCAGTACCTACATGGCAACTCACAACTGTCTGTAACTCCAGTCTCAAGAGATCTGATACCCTCTTCTGACCTCCTTGGGTATCAAGCACACACAGGGTACACAGGTATACATGCAGACAAAACACCCACACACATAAAATAAAAATAAAATTTACAAAAGAAAAGAAGCAGGAATTAATGCCTGATTGATGCTAAAGTAGTTATTGAAGGTATCTTTTCTTAGTCAATTGCTTCAAATGACAGTAACTCTTTTCAAAGGTCTTTGAAGTGGCTCAGTGGTTAGGCACACACTACTCTATATTGCAGAGGACTTTGGTTTGCTTCCCAGAACCCATATCAGACAGTTTGCAACAGCCTGTAACTCTAGTTCCAGGGGACTCTGACCTCCTCTTCTGACTTTTGAAGATACTGTGCTCTCTCTCTCTCTCTCTCTCTCTCTCTCTCTCTCTCTCTCTCTCTCTCACACACACACACACACACACACACACACACACAATTAAAAAATTAAAATAAGATCTTAAGTAAATAATAATTGTTTTAAAAGTTCTGTGGGGCAGCTCAGTGGTAGAGTACCTGCCTAGCATGCCTGAGGCCCTGGATTTGAACCCCAGAATCCCATTAACCAAGTATATTGGTACTTCTCAGCACTTGGTATATCTCAGCACTTGAGAGGTAGAGACAGGAGAATCAGAAGTCCAAGGTCATCCTCAGCTACACAATGAGTTAGAGACCAATCTGAGTTTCATAAGACCCTGTGTCAGACAACACACACACACACACACACACACACACACACACAAGCATGCACACACACAGACACACACAGTATATACAAGGCCTTGGAAGCCCACAGCTTATTGGGGCGTGACTGGAGGGCAAGAAGACACATGGCTTTCCTTTAGGATGATCAGAAAGTTTTGGGAACTAATGCCATGGGATTGTTGTCTTTTGAAAGTTTGTCTATGTTATATATAAATTTCACCTCTATCATGTCAGGAGAAAATGTCTTTGAAACTGGACTAGGGGATGGTATGAGGCCAACCTGCAATAAAGTTAGTAAATATTTGCCAAATGGTTAGTCCCTGGCTGGGCCTTGCCTTCCTGCAGTCCCTTCCACTTGAAGGGAGGGGACTCATGGACATCTAGCTCTCATCACAGTAAAGGCCTGTGTCTATCAGAACATATTTTTTGCCTGGTTCCCAGTGAGTCTCAGTTCTTTGGTGGCCCAGGGTTCCCTTGTTTTCCTCTTGCTGAACAGGGGTCTCTATAGGCCTGTCTTGCTTTCCCCTCCCTGAAACAAAGCTACCCAGGCCCCTCTTGCTTAAGAACTCTATTCTGCTCTGGCTGACAGCAAAGTATCAACTTCATAGGGGCATTTGGGGGCCCCTTCACCTGGCTCTACCTCATCTAGAAATCAACCCACCCACCCTCTGCTCCATGCACACATGGCATCCTAACCCCACCCCCACTCCAAGGGGACACCTCATTCACTGTTTCCCTGCTGAGTCAAGCAAGTCCATTCTTCCTGTCCCTCCCCCATGTGCCTGGATCACACCTGTGGGTTTAGCTGTGCTCTAGGGCTGATTCCCCACAACCACCAAATCATTGCAGAATCAACATCCTTTCCATTCCCTCCTGGGTCCCCAGGGCAGAGCTGTGGTCACACTGGAGCAGGAGAGTCTCATCAACCTCCAACTAGGGCACTCCACCCACCTCCAACTGCTCATGAATCCAATCCAAGAAGGAGGTGATGCGGGTGTAGACTCCAGGCTTGTTCACCTCAGCACAGCCAATTCCAAAGCTTGTTGCACCCACCAGCTTCCACAGTCTCCTCTCCTGGCACACCAGGGGCCCGCCACTGTCTCCCTGGAGAGCAGACGTAGGCAAAGGTCAAGGGGATTGAGCAGCTACACTGTGCTGCTGGCACAGACTTTCCTTTCACATTGCAAGCTGGTGACACCAAGCACACACCTCTCCCCATACACTTGTAAATGTACTCTGCTGTTGTTCAGAGGTGGCTCCTTGCCTGTGTGGGAAAGTTTTCCTCCAGCTGTGTCTCTCCACAGGTCCCAAACACTAAACTGGGAAGGTCAAGGGTGACCCATGTAGCCCCTGGGGCTGGAAGAGGAAGGGTCTGGGCAAGACAGAACTAACTCACTGTGTCCACAGGTGGTACTGAGTCTCACCCAATGCTGCTTTTGGAAGCCCAGGCCCATCAGCTCACACCTGTTTGCTGCTCTGGTTGTCCCCCTACACACTCAGAATCAGGCTGGAGAGGATTAAGGAAGGTAACTCCCCATGCCCTGGAAGACTGGAAGCCTGGGTAAACACAGGCTGGGCCACCAGGAAAGCCAGAGATATCTTAAGCAAATCTCTTCCTTGTGCCATGTAAATTTGCTTTTTGTTCAGTCACGGGGTAGCTGGCAGTGGCCTGTCCCATGGGCTGGGTCACTGTACTGGCCTCTTGCCTGCTACCATGGCCCCCAAAGTAACTGGCAACCCTTTACCTGGCAGCTGTCCACACCGCCCTTCAGATAGCCTGCACAGAGCATGGATGGGGAGATGATGCCACCGTAGACATCCCTGTGGTTGCAGATCTTGTTTGAAATTAAAGGGACAGCCGCATGGTTCAGGACAGGGGAGGCGTCACCTGCCTCAAAGTAATGAGGAAATGTGCAGTGAGGAGTCTAGCTTAGAAAACAGAAAGACAGAGACAGGGGGGAAGGGGGGGGCGGGGGCGAGGGACATGTCACCTGACACAGCAATGATAGCAAACAGCAGGCTGTCATGGAGCACCTGGGGCCCAAAGTGTCCCTGCTGAGCGGGTTGTGTGTCCCCACCTCTTAATTAGGGCCATTTATTCCCCTAAGAGGCTCAACGCGGAAGAGGAGAAGAGCAGCAGGAAAGAGTAGACAAATGTTTCTTCCCATAGCCAAGGCAAGCCCTTGACCCACCCAAGTCAATCCACATTGCCAAAGGGAAACTGAGGCTCCCGAAGGCCTCACATATCTGGACAGAGGTGTACGTGGTCAGCAGAAATGTATCCCCTCCAAATAGAGGTGTGGGTGCCGGACCTGTGGCAATGCCACAGGCAGGCATTCCAGCACACAGGCGGGAGATAGCCTCCACAATGCGGGTAGACTCATGAAAACTACCAGGACTTAGCAAAGACTCAGGCAACATCAGAGGAGTAGGACTTAGCATCAGATCAGCCTATTGGCCTTGATGATGAGGATGAGGCCACCAGCCCAGGAGAGTAGGAGCAAAGGTAAGGAGACACTTGTCATTGGAGCCACCCGAGGAGCCAGACTGCCCACACTAGTGACCCCTGAGACTGGCTGTAACTGGAAGGCAATAAACACAAGCTGAACATTGAATCCCAGAGTGTGAGAGGCTGAGGCTGCAAGGTTGCTGTGAAGTTCGTGGCTAGCTTGGGCTACACGGTGAGTTCCTGGACAGCCTGGGCTAGAGTGAAACCCTGAATGAATGTCCCCTAAGGAAAACACTAAACTTCCTGCATGGGTTGAATTATAGCACCCCTCTTAATTTGTCTGCCTGTAACTGAGACCCGTGACCCTCTTTGGAACAGCCTCTGCAGAGGCTGCTGAAGTACTATCTCAAGGCCAGGTCATCTTGCATGTAGGGCAGGCTCTAAATCCAACAACTGATGTCATGGAGATGGGATCAAGAGACTGATGAGATAGGTCAGTCGGTAAAGTTGTTGGTTCAACACCCAGAACCCACACAGGCAGTGGGGGCGCAGCAAAACAACGCAAACTCAGTCATGTAGATGGGAGCGAAGCAGCAGCCAGCCAAGGAACCTAAGAATGGTTAGAGGCACCAGATGCTGGGGAGACGCTGGGACAAACCCCACCTCAGGCCTGCGGACACCTTGACCTCAGACTTTAGAACTGTGAGAGGGCTTACATCTGCACTTCTGAGCCTTTTGAACCATCCAGGCCAGGATAGTTTGCTACAGTTGCAAGTGACAGCAGGCTGGCCTGAGCCGATAAAATGCATGGAGGAAAGCCATTGCTGGGAACCTTGAGTCTCCAGACCATGCCAGCACTCTAAGTTGATGCAAGGGACACAAATGTCCCTGGCAACTATGTGACTGTGACTACCAGTATTACCACTACCAGTGCAGTGGAGGCTCCTGGACAGCGCCTTCTATCCCATGCTCACAGGAGAAAATAGAATACCTTGCCAGCACTCACAGACATTGGTTCTTTACTCTGTGTCCCTGCATGCTGGGTAAAACTTGGGGGGTCATCAAGGTGTGCTTCATACACTTGCCTTGCAGACTGAGAGGAGCAGGAAGGAGGGGTGTGTGAAGGCCTCTCCATAGAAATGCACACTTCTCCCTCATAGCCCGTTTGTCTCCAGAGAAGCCCCACAGCGTCACACTGTCCAAAGTGACCTACATTGCTCAGCAGACTGCTGTTGTGAGTAGGTGGTCCGCACTAACCCTGAGCTCCAAGCATCCTGAGGGGACATCACACAGAACATTGGAGGGGCCCTCCCCAGCCTCTGGCTTCAGACTACTGACCTCCATCCTCTGTGGCCCCCCATCCTGATGTCCAGCACAGTTTCCCATCAGGAAAGTTCTCTTCAGAGTTGGGCAGACAGACAGGCTGGATGGTCTCTGTTAGAAAGGGACCAAGTATATGAAATCCCTGAAGCCACTGTCCCCAGAAATCAACTGACTTTATGTTTAGGTCTCTGAACCCATCTCCTAGGGAGGGGTTGGGCCTTGGTCATTGACATCAGCTAGCTCAGGGCAGAGGACCCACCCACTCATCCCCCAGAGTCTATAAAACTTGAGTGTAGACTAGAATGTGGTGTGAGTCCAGAATCCAGCAGCAAACCCTGGCTGTAAAAACCTGGACAGTAGAGAGTTTAGGCTCGTGGACCATGTGACCACATGTTATCATTGTTGCCGGAACCATGGGAGTTGTAAAAAAAAAAAAAAAAAAAAAGCGGGGGGTGGGGGTGGGGGGAGGAGGGACTGGTGGATTGGTGATAGAATTTTATTGCTCAAATGTGCATTGAGTCACACTTGGCCCTTGGGCCAGAGTGGCCACTCCTGTGTATACACAGGACACCACACTGGGGATGTTCCTGATGTCCCTGGTGTTTGTTCTGACAGCAGGCTGGTCAGCACCTAGGATGTGCCACTGAGACCCTGGCAAAGCCCAGGGCTTTCATATGAGCAGCACTCGAGATGCCATGCCCATTCCTCACGGTGATAATAGAAAGGTGGGGAGGGCCTGGGCATTAGTTGTGCACGCCTTTAATCCCTGCACTCAGGAGGCAAAGGCAGGCAGATCTCTGTGAGTTCAGGACAGCTAGGACTACATAAAGAAACCCTGTCTCAAAAAGGTGTGGAGGGGCCACATGTTTGGCTCTTTAGCCAAGTACAGCAACAGAAGACAGCTCCTCTCTCTAGAATCAAATACTACCAAAAATAGTTGGCAAGCAGCAGCTCTTAACCCCACCCAGCAGTCTTTCTCCCTCTGCACTAGAAAGCACACAGGTTCACTGCAGAGAAGGGGGTTCCACCTTGGAAACAGCTCTGCCTGCCCTCTAGCATGTTTATCCTTGCTGGACTCTCACTGATGGAGCCAGTGTTCTGTGCCTACGCTGTGCGGGTTTCTATAACAGCCAGAGGGCTGAGCTTCGAACTCAGTCCCTGTCACTGGAGGTGATAAGAATCTGAGAGAAGAAGGGGAGGGATTGGTTCTAAGAACACCCAGGGAGCTAAAGATTCCTAGAACCTTCCAGACACTGAGGAAGAGGGAGGTTCCTGCCAAGTTCTCAAGCTGCCCCAGTCTGGGACCCTGCCAGAGGCTCTATGTAACAAACACTAAGATGGGAACATGCTGTCTGCTATGGGTCCCTAAGGGCATGTGACTCTCTTCTACCACCTAAAGGCACAAGGTAGCCTGGCCTAGAGACTCTCTTACATTCAGTTGGCACCAGACCAAGAGACCAGAGTAGAACCAGGAAGCCTGTAAGATAAAATTAGCACTAGAGTCTCCTTGGAAACCAACAAGCCAAATCTAAAGACTGAAATCTTATGAGATGGCTCAGTCTCCTAACATGCTCAGATTGAAGGCATATAACTTGGGCTGGGAAGAATGCTCAGCTGACAAAGTGCTTGCCACACAGCCGTGAAGACCTGAGTTTGATCTCTGAAACCCTTGTAAAAAGCCAGATGTAATGGCTTGAGCCTCTTACCCAGTGCTGGGGAGACAAGAGACCGAAGGGTCCCTGGGCTTATTGGCCAGTCAGCCTATTAGGTGACTCTAGACCAATGAGACCCTGCTCCCCACAAAAACACACACACACAACTTTAATGAGCAAAGAGTGCACTGGTGTCAACACCCAGCTGAATCAAGCATTGGAACTTTCTGGCAAGGGTAGTAAAGCAACCATCATAATGATGCTGCAACAAGCAACCACCAATTCTCTTCAAACAAATTAAAAGCAACTGTCTGGCACAGACGCTTAGACATACCGTCAAAAGTGAGTGGCTCAGCCAGCTTCATGAGGGCGATGTCATTGCCTAGCCGCTTTGGCTTGTACTTGCTATGGTAGATGATTTTCTCCACCAGATGGGAGGGCACAGGACTGTCCATCAGGGACACAAGACCCACCTGGATGGTCCAGGACTTGGGATGGTACAGGCTGAAATTCATAGAGAGGCAGAGCTCAGGACAGACCCAGCCATGCTGGGTCCCAAGAGCCCAGGGAGATGGTGAGAGATGTCACCAGGTAGGAGATGGCTCCATGCCCTGCACATCTATGCCCCACACTGACCACATTCCCAAGTCCTGCAGGAACACAGACCCACACTCAGTGTACACCCTAGACAAGCCATTCTCTCCACACCATCCAAGAGATGCATTTAAGGCTGGATGCTGCTTTGCTCCCTGCAGAAGGTGTCCAGGTCTTTCTCCACTGACCAAAGCAGGAGTTTAAAAGAATCAGCACTGGGCCTGGGGTGTTCTCTCTGACTTCCTTGCCATCTAAACTCCTTACAGACCCAGCTTGGTGGGGGCTCAGTGTTCTCTGGGTGCCCTGAACTTCTACTTCATGGTACCCTGCTACAGGAAGACCTGGGACCCTGATTTTTCCACCCCAATCTTCCTTCCTCCTCTTTCTGCCTTCTCTGTGCCAGCCCAGCTCATGTCACTCCCAGACACAGAGACAGATCCTCTGCGAGGAAGGCAGGCATTCACACCTACATGTGGCTTTATGGTGCCTGGCTTCCTAACTCCCTAACCTGCACTCACCCCCAGACCATCCCATCTCCCTCTGACCCAGGACCAGATAAGGCTCTGGGAAGAGCAGATCCACAGCGGCAGGCCTGGACACTCACTCGTAAACACAGTGTGCAGCAGTGACAATCCACAGAGGGGTGATGATGGAGCCCCCACATAGGTGGTAGCCCTGGAACTGGAGGCTGACCTGCCAGGGCCACTGGGCGAGCGCCGACATGTTTCCACCCACAATGCGGAAGCTGTAGCCAGTTCTCAGGCCACAGGCTACAGAAGGAGAAGAGGGGCTTATGGGTAATGCTGTCAGCACCCTAAACCTCCTACCTAGCAATATCCCTGTCCCCAACCCCGCAGGAGAGGGTCAGGCACACATGGAGTCAGGCACACAAATGACTCAGAGGTATGCCAGATTTGTGGGGGGCAGTGGGAAGGGCTGTTGTAGAGAACAGACATGCTTGCTCTGCTCATCAATGGCATCTTGGTGCCTAGCCCCACACTGGCATCTAGAAAAAGGGATCTTGAGCTGTTCCCAAGGGGAGGACATGACTCCACAACGACGGCTTCCATGTGGCTCCCTACCTATTTAGACACTTAGGATACTTACCTGAGCACTTCAAGGTGACCACATGACCTGAGGCACAGCCTTCCCTAGAGTGGAAAGAACAGTTCATGGACGGGCCAACAAGCAGCTGTTTTCAGAGCAGGGGTCACACGCATCTAACCTGGGGGCCTGGGTATCTGGAGGAAAGCCTAGACTGAAGACCACCTATGCGGTTTTCTCCCTGCTTCAGCCTGGGCCCCAGTGGGGAGATGTCTCAGATCTGGGCACCTGACTGTTGCTAAGGGAACCTGGTTTGTCTTTGTGAGAGTTTCAGGGTGGTGGCTTGGGGGGCGGGCAGCCGGTAAGTGGTGAGTATAAAAGCACTTTGTAAAGGGTGCAATCTAACTTCCTTGTCCCTTCCCTGCTTATTTGCTTACACACACACACACACACACACACACACACACACACACACACACACACTCCTGCCTGTCACTGGGTGTCACTGTTGCTCTTCTCCTGCCCTCCCTTCCCTCCCTTGACACAACCATACTTTCCAAGGTTGGGCGTTCACCCCTGCACCCCTGCTTATGTACCACCATTCTAACCATAGCAGTGAGTTCCACCCTTGCTCATGGAGATGACATCCTTTCCTCTCATGGAGTGCACCACATCTTCACAAACCCAGTGTAGACAGCAATAGCACCTATCCAGCCCCTTACCTCACGTACACAGAGTGGTGCAACGTGGTCACCTTGTCATCTGGCAAGAGGTGATTGATGGACACAAAGTCGCCCTGGAACTGCTCCTCAAGTGCATCCACTCTGAGGTGGTCTGAGTTTACATAGCTGCAGGCACATTGGAAACCCAGACCCAACTGTCACTGGTGACACTGAAATATCAGTCACCCACACACACACTCACCAGGTTACAAGCATCACACTTTGGGGACCTTATTGGGTCCTTCCCAGACCATCAAAGCCTTCGTTCTGTTAAGGAAATGCATACGCCTTAGCCAGGCTTTCCAGGCTGGCTATGACCTGGACACATGCTTGCTGACCCACAGTCCACAGCCTGGCCTGCCCACCCACCCAGCCCAGCCACAAAGATACTTCCTGCCACAGTTAGGTAGTCCCCACCCACCCGACTCCGATGCACTTGGTTTGGCTGGAGCCAAGCCTCAGGGGAGGCAGCCAGATGTCTAGTTCCTGAGGGCCAGGAGTTGGGGAATATGAGCGCCTGTCCCACTTTGTCTAGCACTCTCGTGGAAGGCAGCAACTCAACTCAAGGACCCTGGGACCCTGAGCAAATGAGCTCAGGAGACGGGCAATATATCCCATGGTGCAGAAGAGAGATTTAAAGAGACCAGAACAGGGCAGAATAGCTCAACACATACCCAGAAATAGACAAGAAGAAAGTGCAGGGTCCCAAAGGATGGTAGGGGAGCAAAGTAGACTGCAGGTGGCTGACTTCTCACTAACCTGGCAGTTTGTCACACAGGGTGCCATCCAATTGCTGTTAAGTCCCACAGAGGCCCACGTAAGTACAGTGGCAGTGTTCAGCCAAGCATGGGCTTGAAGGAAATGCCATCAAGAGTTTTTTAGGCATTTCCTCCCAGGGGAGGCTGCAGTAGGCTGCCTTGGTGTGAAGGAGCCGGCTTTTACTGGGATGTCAGGTCATGGGGAAGATGGCAGGATGATGAGCTAGGGGCTCATGAAATGCAGAAAGAGCCTAAATGTCACAAGTAGAACCCACAGATCACCTCAGAGCAGCAGCCACCCCCCACCACAGCCATGATGACACCCTAGTGACCACTGAGTCCCCTTGGCCTTCTCAGGTAGAGGCTGACATTGTCCATTCTAAGGGACAAGATGAGGCAAGTCTCCCAAGAATGCCCTGAATCTGCACCAAGATTCAAGCCAACTAGCTTCACTGTCTAGTTTTGATTTGGGGTTTTGGTTCGTTTGCTTGCTTGTCTGCTGCTATTCCACACATAAGAGATAGATATAGTAGTAGAGGAGAGGAAGCTACTAAGGAGAGAGGAGGGAAGATAAACACAAACACAGATTGAAGTCAGAGAGACTGGGGCAATGCGGTAGGGTATGTGTTCATGGTACCGAGAAAGTGGTACAGAGAGAGGGAGGAATAGGAACTAAAATGGAATTTAGAACAGGAGATGCCTGCCCTGTCAAGTGGTTCCAATGTGTCTGAAGGCCTGAGGTCCCTAGTCAGGCTCCACAAGGCATACAGAGGACCTGAGCATAGTGTTCCAGGCAATATGGCAAAGGCCAGGGATTTGGAAGGGGAACATATTCCAGAAGAAAAGAAGAGAAATGAGAAAGAAGTTAATGAAGGAAACAGAGCTATCTGATAGGGAAAATGTGGCTGTTTTGGTGTGTGTGTGAGAGAGAGAGAGAAAAGGAGGGAAGAGACTCCCAACTCTGAAGATGGAAAGACCCCATCTTAGATAGTCTCCTAAGGCTAAGGGTGTTTTTGAACAACAGCATCCTCTGGGGCTCTTGAGGATGCATGTTCAGACATGGATGTGACCAGCACCAGTGTGTAACACTGTCCCAACATCTACCCTTTAAGCTCCAAAACACCAAGCCAGAATATTTTATTTTACAACTCATAAGTCCCGAGCTTACATACTGTTTGCTTTCTGTTACTGGTTTTCTTTTTTTATGGTTTACATGTTTTGTTAGCCTGTCTTGTTTGTTTGTTTGTTTGTTTTGTCTGTTGGTTGGTTGGTTTGGTTTGATTGATTGGTTGGGTTGTTTGACAGGAACTCACTATTTAGCTCAAGCTGGTTCCAAACTCTGCATGTAGCCCAGGCTGGTCAAGAACACACGTTGTTCCTGCCTCTGCCTCCACAGTGCAGAGATTACATGTGTACCACCATGCCTGGTTGTTGTTGCAATGTTGGAACAAAACCTATGACTTTGTATATACTAGGTCAGTGCTCTACCAGCTGAGCCCCAGACCCCAAGAATTTCAACGCTTTTGCATCTAAGGTCCTGGCCCTGGCCTTGCCCTGGGAACTCCCTTTACACACAATTTTCTGTGTGACTCGGAGTCTCCTGGCTGCTCCCTGTGAAGGAAGACAGGGCTAAGTGCCACAAGGTTGTCATAAGAATGAAGTGTGACATGTTAATGCATCTGGAGAGCTCCTACTGTCCAATAGCAGTCTGCCCCCATCCTGTCACCCCCGCCATTTGGCCTTGACTCACCTGGGAAACCCCAGCTGGGCACAGGCAACCTTGGCATAGTGGCTTTTCCAGTCATCAGAGCACATGGTCCTCCAGGCAGCGGCCGAGAACACCTGGAGCACTGCTCTTTGGCCACTCACCCGCACTGGCCAGGCATGGGGAGAAGGGCAGTGAGGACCAGTGCAGGCTGAGGCCAGGCAGAGGCTGGCGACAGCCCCATTCACTCCACACACCACCTCTTCCAGCCTGACCTGCTCCCATCCATAACCATTCCCCATAAGATGCTGCAGTTCCCATGGCCTGCACCCTGAGACCCCCCACACTCAGAACCTGTCTAGTCCCCCAAATGAACGCTAACACACATAACAGTCCTCCCAGAACCTAGCTGAGGACATCCCAGCTGAGGACAGGTGGCAACAACAGCTACGCCTTAGATCCAGCTCACAGGTGGGAAGGGCAAGTCCTGGGTTGTGGTCACTCTCTATGACTTCTTTCAGTGAACGGGAGCTACTCACCGCATCGGTACTCATCCTCCCCTTCCTTGCAGTCAGAGACCCCATCACATCGAGCTGTCAGTTCAATGCACTTGAAAGATGAACGGCACCTGTATTTCCCAGAGCAGTCGAAGTGGACTGGGAAGGGAGGGGAGGGAGACTGCTAGCGAGCGGCCCCTTCAGTGTGCGGCACTCAGAACTGCACACCTGCCAGGTGGCCTTGAACTTGCCCATCAATAATGAAACCTGCAATGAAATTACATCCCTGACAGCAGCCTGTTTCTTTCATCCCCGTTTCTGGCCTGAACTCCAAGGGGCACCCACAGTTCCGCTGCCTCTGGGAAGCCCAGATCAGGGTGTATTCAGACTCTAAGGGTTCAAAGTCAAGAGTAAAACTGCATGGCTGTGGTCAACACACCCAACTGACCCAGCAGGAGCCTCAGCTGAGACCTTTCAACCACCTTGCTTCCTCTAACTCTGGGCCCAAAGCCAATAAACAGTGGAACATTCAGCTGAGCAAGAGGCAAACTATGCTGCTCTGTGCTCAGTTACTTGGAGGAGAAAAAGAGAAACTATATACTCTAAGAGATCCCCTTCCTCCCTATGACCCACTTTCTCAAAAGCCCCACATACCTCCCTATAAAAATAGCCAGGGTGCGTGGTATGGCTTGAATGGAAATCTTTGTCTGTTCAACCCCAGCCTCCCCCTTCCCAACCCAGAGTCCTGTTTCATCAGCTACCTTTGAGTAATTCTAACTGTGCAGGTGCCCTGGTGGCAGAGCCCAGAGCATGGCCAGCAGCCCCTGCCTGTTCCCACACTGGCTTGACATTCAAGCAAGCAAATAAAACCCATCACCGTCAAACCAAAAAGACACCAGCCCCCAGTAATTAAGGCCAGGCAACAGCAAGTACAGGTGGCGTGCAGGTGGGGCCACTCATGCAAGTTTAAATGCCAAAGCAGGTATTCGAGAGCCTACTAAATAATGGACGGTACTCACTGCCCAGGCCGATGGCCAGCGCCAGTATCAAGGCAATGATCCCAATGACGATGATCGGAAAAAACTTCAAGGGCAGCAGGGACAAGATCTGTGCAGCCACTGCGTCTGCATCTGAGAACCAAAGGAGTGAGGAGTGGGGGAGCGTTGTCTTTGAGTGACATAAAACTTAAAGTTTAGTCATTGTGTCCTCTGTTCGGTCTGCACAGAAAAAGCAGCAACCCAAAGACAGCTGACTTCATTGGATAAGTGGCCATATTGTCTAGGTCAGTCTTGCCCTCCCAGCTATGGCCCAGCTCTCTGCCCCAGCTTAGGAGACATTGTTGTGGGTTGAAAAGTATCCTCCAAAGGACCCTTTGACACCCTAACCCCCAGCAGCCAAGAGTGGGATCTTATTTGATGGTCACAGAGAGCACCATGTCAGATGAGGTCCTTAAAGAAGGCTCTACTCTTCTATGCCTGGCCTCCTCAGGAAGGGGGAGATTCCAACAGACTGGGACATGCATAGAAGAAAGACAATGAGAGACAAGGGGAACAGACAGCCATGTGAAGATGATGAAGGCCAGGGACAGAGTGGCATGTCCACAATTCAAGGAGTCCCAAAGGCTGTTGGTCAAAGGTCACTATCTGCACAAGGCCTGGAGGGTCCTGTGTGTATGTATGGGAACAAGGTCTTACTGACATCAGGGCTTTCATGTTTCCAGCCCCCAAAAAGGATACAAGGAGACTCTGTTGACTGAGCCATCCAGCTGTGACATGTTGTCCCAGTAGCCCCAGGGGAACAGCTGAAGGAAGTTCAGGGTCCCAAGGATGTGTTCAGAGAGGGTTACTGTGACATGGAGATTGTATGCCTTGTGCTTGAAGCAAGGAGGGCGCTGGGCTCTCTCAAATTATCCCAAGCTGGCCTTCCCCACAGAGTCACCCTCAGCCTTTGTTCCTGGCCATGTTCCACATGTGGGCAGAGGCCACTGTATAGGCAGCATCTTCCCCAGAGTGGGGCTGTTCAGTATCACACTCACTGTCCAATTTAGTACATTTCATGTCCTCTTCTAGATTACAGCTGCCACAGCTTTGCTTGCAGCTCCTAAAGACCGGGGTTCCTGGGCTCTGGATTCTTCAGCTCTCATGGGAACTACACACTTATGAAAATACCCACTGGGGATGGGGCTGGCAGTGACAAGGTTGATGAGGCTACCTGTTGTGCAGGGAGTGGCAAATCCCTGTCCTTGACCCAGGAACTTTTCATGGCTTCTGGCTGCATCATCTATGAACTCTGGGCAGGCTGACCTGTTAGCTTGCAAGTAAGGTGAACACTCACACCCAAGTTGCCCTGCAGAGGTACAGCATCTCCACCCCTCCTCCCTGGTATGGCTTGGACACTCTTGGTTTTGATGGTTAAGTTTCTATCAACTCAACACAAGCCAGGATCATCTGGGAAAGAAGAACCTCCATTGAGAAAATGCCTTCATCAGATTGGCCTTTGGGCATAGAGAGAGTGTTTTCTTGATTAATGTTGGACACAGAGAGCCCAGCTCATTGTGTGTGTGGTGCCACCTTGGGGCAGTGTTGGTTCTGGATGACAAAAGAAAGTGGGCTGAAGAAACTTGTAAGCAGCACCCTCCATGGCCTCTGCTTCAGTTCCTGCCTCCAGGTTCCTGCCCTGCTTGAGTTCCTGTCCTGACTTCCCTGGATGATGGACCATGAGCTGCCAAGCTGGTATAAACCTTCCCTCCCTGAGTTGCTTTGGCCATGATGTTATCACAGCAATAGAAACTAATTAGGACACTAGGGATGGCGAGCAAGATGCATCTCTCTGGAGCAGCCCCGCAAAGGACAGACAAGCAGGAAAACCTCCCAACCTCCCTGGAAATGAACAAACGAAAACTGGACCTAAATTCATCCTGACATCACAATGACTTTGCTGGTACCATACCCACTGGTGCTCACATTACACAGCACAGCAGGATGCATTTCAGTCCCCTTTGTTAGTATTTAGGCATCTGTTCTGACCTGCCCATGGGGTTCTGGCAGGATACTTGCTACATTTTCTCTTAAAAGGGCACTGCTTACCACCAACCACCAACCACCTTCTTCCCCCCCCTCCCCTCCCCCTTCTTCCTTCCCCCTCCCCCTCTCCCTCTCTCTCCCCTTTTCCCTCCCCCTCCCTTCTGCCTGTCTCTCTCTGCCTCTCTCTGTCTCTCTCTCTGTCTCTCCCCCCCCACTCTTTTCTGCTGCCCCTTTTCCCAGAAACCATCTTCCCCTTCCCCTCTCCTTTCCCCATTCCCTTTCCCCTAATTAAAAAAAAAATTAAATTAAAAAAAAAAACCCTCTAGGTGATCTCTGTCTAATGGCATCTTTCTCTCTCAAGCCACTTTATAAATTACAACAACACCCTTTGTGTGAGATTGGAAATGTATCTACATGGCTTAAAGCAGATGGAGTTTTTGACCCAGTAATGTCACCTCTAGGAATGTATCCTAAAAGTTGTCTGTCTCCACACACCCTGTGGAGGGTGCCATTCCTGAAAATGGCAAACAGGAAGCAGCCTGAACAGCCAGCAAAAGGGCAGCAGGAACCCCTCAGCACCGCTGTGGGAGGAATGGGGTGGAGCTCCTAGGGGTCTTTTCTGAACCCATTCCCCCTACCCTGTCCTTCAGACTCCCTCAGCATGTGGGATGCAGGTTGTTCAGAGCTGCAGCATGAACGGGCCAAGTCCCCACCCTCGCCCAGCCCAGGGGTCATGGCTCTCACTGCCTCTGAGCAGGACTCTCCAGACCTTTGAGCCACAAGCACAAAGACCCCATAGGAACAGGCATCCGAGGGAAAACAAATGCCTCACCTAGTAGGCATGTGACTCAAGAAACTGACTTTCCTTCTTTTGGTGGCTACAGGGCTCATTTTAGCCAGACACTTAGCTTTCTGTGGCATACAGCTTGCCTGAGTTTTCAAGAAGGGCTGTGGTGACTGTTTCTAAGGACTCCCTGTAGAGCTCAGTTTTCCTAGCCAGCATTTGACCTCTTTCTGAGTAAACCCAAGCCAATGTGGAGCTTGGGTCTCTGGAAACTGCCAAGAGAAGAAAACAAAACAAACAAAAACCACTGCCTCCAGGGAGTTAGCAACTGCCCCTAACAAGGGGGCTCCTCTTGAGCACCCCACAACTGCAAGATCAGGAAAGGGAGGTGTCCTGCTACTAATGTGAAAATACCCAAGGAAAGCGGGAAACATAGCAAAGTCACAGAGTACCTGTCTAGTTCAATTCCCAATACAGGAAAGAAGGAAGGGGAAGGGAAGAGAGAAAGAGAGACTATACAAGGAGATCCACACACACACACAGAGAGAGAGAGAGAGAGAGAGAGAGAGAGAGAGAGAGAGAGGGAGAGGGAGAGAGACAGACAGACAGACAGACACTTGACCATATTCACCACTTCTGCAAAAGGCCCACATCACAAAGTCCACCTACCTGGTACCACAGGACTTATTTTCAAATCATCCAAGCCGAAGAGAGATCGGAAGGAGAAGGGGGCTTCGGCTGCCGGAGGATCATTTTCTCCCATGGTGACTATCTCAGGGCCTCTGATGTTGGCTTCCGGCTCCACCTCCACCTGCTTAGCCAGGGGTGAGCCGGATTGGTCCCTGTGGGAAGTGTGGGCACCAGGGGCGCCTCTGTCCCATTTTAAATCCTTTCAGTCAGACTTGAAGCCCACTCCCTGTGGGTTTGTCCCAAACACCCATCTACTGAGAGCACAACTTTCCCTGAACTTCTAGGGTTGACAAAGGAGCAGAATTTTAACTCCTCTCCAATAACCAGGATGGCATCCTCGGCATAGCCAATCTTAAAACCAGTCAAGTAACACTTTTACAGATAAGCCCCTCTGCCACCAGAAGCCACTGTGCCGCTCTTTAGAAGACTGTGACTACCTGTTTTCTAAGGCTGTTCTCCCCTGTTCTTCAACATTTTGTTTTTCCTCCTAGCCATAGGATTTACTTGTCATAGACGTAAGATGTTCTGCTCCTCAGTGTTTGTGTCCCCAAATGTAGGTAGCACCAGAGAAAGGGCACAGTCATGCCGTTAGTAGCTTCCACAAACAGCCCTTTCCTGGCTCGTGCAGGCATGACCTGATTAAAAATGAAAGTATCCGAACCCTGGGGACCCAGGCCACCCAGCCAAGTGAGGAGTGGCTGGGAGCCTCTGCCTCAGGCCAAACCCACACAGGACTCTGTTTCCTACAGTAGAGGCTTTCCAGAGAGGGTTGAGCAAGCATGGAGGGTGCTCCCCAGTGAGTCCCAGGTCAGTCTTCCTAACTGCACAATCAGGGTATTGAGAATTCTGCTTCCATCAAAGCTGGGACCCACAGAGGCCCCCTGAAGGCTGTGAGCACCAGTGAATTTATGTCTGCCTCTTTCCTAGCTACCTGTTGTGTCTGTTCACATTCCAAATAGAGCTATGCACCATTTACAACTAACCTTGTTCTCACATTATCTTTAAACTCTAAAGCTTTCTGGAAAAATCAGTCCTGGGAGAGTATCTCCTCCCAAGCAGGCCTGGATTGGCAGGACCCACCTGGGTAAGGTGAGAAGTTACTTAGAGTGCATCCTCAAAGCACCTTCCAGCCCCCCGCCCAACCCACTTACTTACTATTTCTGAAGCCGCCATCATTTGGAGCAGTGATAATTTCCTTTTTCATTATAAACGTGAGAGGGAGAGTCAGCAGCTGGCAAAGGACAGTACAGGAGGAAAATATTTTCAGAGCCACTCAGCCTTGTCGACTCTGTCACTGAGGCCAGCGGCATCACCGAGGCGCCTCTGTAACACAATCTGGATGTGGTTATCAGGTGGCTCTGGTGGGATGGCATCAGAGATGGGGGGAACAGCTTGCAAATGAGCAGAGCCAGAAAGGCAGGAGTGTCACAGAAGAATATAGGGCCCAAGGACACTCCTTGCATTAAGATGACCAAAGGGGCCACACCCAGAGCCAAGCAGACAGCCCCACAGGAGGGCAGATTAGCACTTTGTGGGGCAGTGCCATCCACCCAGGTTACTGAGCCTTGGGTTTAGTCCTCCAACTGTTCTGAGGACAAAGAGACAGAGACTAGACCATTTGCCCAAATATTTCTTGACGTCATTGTTTTTAAATAGATGAGTAACACTCCATTGTGTAAATGTACCACAATTTCCTTATCTGTTTTTTGGTTGAGGGACAGCTAGGTTTGTTTCTAGTTTCTGGCTGTTATGCATAAAGCTGCAATGAACTTTAAACTTGAAATGCCATGTTTGGTTGATCTCCATGCGAGGCCTGCTCTCCTCTGAATAGAAATGGAGGAAGAGTGGGTGGGGGAGGGGAGAGACTAAGAGGAGAGGGTGGAGGGGAAATAATGGTCAGGTTGTAAAATAAATAAATAGAGACTGCCAGGCAGTGGTGGCACCTTTAATCCCAGCACGTGGGAGGTAGAAGCAGGTGGATCTCTGTGAGTTCCAGGCCAGTCTATACTACAAAGTGAGGCCTGGGATAGCCAGGGCTATTACACAGGAAAAACCTTGCCTCAAAACAACCATTAAAAAAAGACAGACTTACCTGTGACTACTCTCCCAGTCCCAAGATGAACATTTATTGAGATGGTGATAGCACACTTGACTCTTAAAACTTTCTTTTCTTTCTCCTAATCTTAGACAGTCTTCTAGAATGTTCTGGCATAATCCCCACAGTGACCAGGGCCATGAAGGGCTGATTGTGAACCTAAGTGGTTGCACACACAGATAACCAACCGGGGGCAAGCCAGAGGTCACCTGGGTCTCCCAGCGCCCTCAGCACCACTTGCCACAAGCGAGTTCCTGACTGACCTTATGAGCGTTCTCCTCCCTCATCTCCCTCTTCTTCCTCCCTTCCTTCCTTCCTTCCCTTCCTTCCTTCCTCCCTTGTTTCCTTCCTTCCTTTCTTCCTTCCTTCCCTCATTTCCCTTCCTTCTTTCTTTCCCTCATTTATTCCTTCTTTCTTCCCTCCCTCTCTCCCTCCCTCCCCCCTCCATTGATTCTTGTTTGGTTGCTTCCTTTTGTTTTCCAAGTCAAGGTCTCATTGTGTAGCCCAGGCTGTCCTCAAACTCAGCATTCTGCTGCCCCAGCCACAGGTTCTAGGATTTAATATATTATTGATTTAATAAGTTATAGATATAAACATAATTTCTCAAAATTATTTGAATGAGAAAAAAATCATATTTGAAGTGAGCGATTTATCAGACCCCATATTTACTTTTTTCTCCTCTGAATAATGTGAACTGAAGCCCCTACACACACACCACACAAAGCCTCGCCTGTGTTGAAGATTTTATAGAACTTTGTGGAGTATGAAGTGTGTGTGTGGGGGGGGGGTGTTAGAATGTTTCAGGTCAAGAACCAAATTATCTTGCGCTGCCTTTAATCCCTTCATGGCCATTTATCACCCACCTCTTTGTCAGACCTAACATACTTTCAACTAACAAGTAAAGCCCTTGGGATGTATTAATTTAGCAGACCATTGACTTCTTCCAACCCTAAAGCTAAGAATGCCCTCAGATAGCATCTGAGGCTTATGGGAATGATGCCTTCACTTTCCCACATCCCATCTATTTGATGTCCCTTCATTTAGACTGCCTCTTGTTCTGTGACTAATAAAGTATGGGTACTGTTTCCACAGTGAAGCGTTGTCATTCAGGACAACAATGTGATTCCCAGATGGATCACAATGAACTATCTTAATTCCCTTGGGAGCAAGAGATGAGTTCTGCGTTGATGGTAGCAAGCTTTGCCTATTTCTAACACTCAAACTCAAGATAAATAAATTGATTAGAAAATTCCTCTTGAATCCCTCAGGGAAAAGGAGAATGAATGGAGGCCCAGAGGTCTCTATGGCAAAGGAAAAGACCAGGCAGAGAAAGAGGCCACCATGCGCCTCCTGTGTGGAACATGTAAAAGAAAGAATGTAGTGGAGAACAAAATGTTGGTGGTGAGGCTGGGGGTCAGGGTGGAGTGAGAAGGAGTGGGGAGATGTGAATCAAAGGATGCAGATTTAGACATGTAGCATGAGCAAGTCCAGAGTCAGGTGTGACCTCACAGATACAGCTCTGCACTGAATGCTGGGAAGTCTGGAAAGCCGATTTCAAAGGGCACTTGTTGCTCCTGCAGAGGATGGAGTTCAGTTCCCAGCACCTGTGCTGGGAGGAACCCGCACAACTGCCTGTAACTCCAGCTCCAGGGGATCCCCAACATCTTCTAGAACCCCCACACTTGTGTGTACACACATACAAATAGATTTTCTAAATTTATTTATATTTTTATGTATGAATGCTCTGCATGTACACCTGCCTGCCAGGAGAGGGCGCCAGATCTCATTACAGATGGCTGCAAGCCACCATGTAGCTGCTGGGAATTGAACTCAGGATCTCTGGAAGAGCAGCCAGTGCTCTTAACTGCTGAGCCATCTCTCCCCCTCCTAAATAAAAATTTTTAATTGAAAATAAAGAATGTAACTATTTGAGAAGCTGAGAGAGAGAGATTTCTGATTAAATAAAAGTTTAAAGATATTATAGAATAGAATGAACTCACATTTTTAAGTGAAACATTGTAGTCTCTCCTGTACAGTAGAGAGTGACAGAGAGGTGTTATCATGGATATTCAGCAAATTATTTGGGGTTTAACACAGTATAATGTTAGATAGAGAAACAGAGAAAAGAAGATTGGAAGGGAAAAGGGATGAAAAAGAAGGACACATGGAAAGAAAAAATGGTAAGAACCAGTGAGCAATAAGGACATGAAGCTGAGTGTGGGGGTGCACATCTTTAATCCCAGTGCTCAGGAGTCAGAGACAGGAGGAGCTCTGAGCTCAAGGCTAGCCTGGTTTATATAGCCAGTTCCTGGATAGCCATGGTTACATGGTGAGACCATATCTCAAAATAAGATAAGAATAACATTTTAAAAATAATGAAAGTCATCATCGCTTGCAGATAATATCTAAAATTCTAAAGATAAATTATTATGATCAATAAATAAACCTAGCAGAACTTTTGGATATAAAGCCAGTAGAAAACAGTACAAATGTGGTGATAATTTACCAGTTTAAAAAAGGTATGATTTATAGGGGCACCAAGGATTGCCCATTACCTAAGACAGTGAAATACCTACCATATGACCTCTACCCAGAAACCCCTGCAGCAAAAGAAAAGAAATAAAGGCTAGCAAGCCTGTGTCAGAAAAGCTAAGAGGGATAAATTTCTAGAAAAACAGTTTAACGAAACAGGTTATATAAATTAATTCATACATTAAAACTTGCCAACAAGGAAACTTCTTGGCCCAGGACATTTCACTTACCAACCCATACAAATTTGGGAGGTAGAAACATAAGGACCAGGAGTTCAAGGCCATATTTAATGGAAGCCTGCATAGGCCATATAGATAAGTAATTTATAATAGCATCAGAAACATAAATGAGGAGGCCAGTGATGGCTTCATGGGTAAAGTACTTGCATGCAACCCTGATACCCTGAGTTTGGTCTCTAGAACCTACATAAAGATGAAGCAGAAGAAGCAACTCTTCCATGTTGTCTCCTGGCCTCTACACATAGCCAAAGCATGCGTGCACCCACAGGTAGACAAGAGACACAGCCACACACACACACAAAAATCATAAATAAAGTTGTTAATTAAGAAAAGAAACTGAAAATTACAAAACACCACTGGGAGAAATTAAGTAGAGAGATGTACAATATATGTGGAATGGAAGACATAATATTATTAAAATGTCAGTTCTCTCTCAAATGATCTGCAGATTCAGTCCAGTCTCACAGATTGTTTCTGGAAAAAAAATTAATTAATCAATGTATTGGGTTTTGTTGTCTTCAGCATTCCTTTCATTTTTTTTCTTAAAATTGGTTTTATGGAAATATGCCCATTCTAAATACTCAGTTTGGTAGTCTGGAAGAAAACATCACTTGTATAAACACCACTCAGTCAGGTCCCTGAGCCCCTAACTCACTCCCACCCTACCTCAGGCAACCACTGATCTGCTCTCTGAAACTCACTCAATCTTATTTTGTCTAAAACGGCATCTAAATAAATCCGTACAGCAAGTGTGATGGTGCCTGGTGCCCGGCAGTAGCGCAGTTAGCTCTTCTGCTCATTGGTGACGCAGGAAGCATGGACTCTGTGCTTCCTGTCTATGAGCACCGCTCCCTGAGCTCATAGCTCAGCCTGTCTGTTCTCAGTCGGATCTCACTTGGACGATTTGGATCATTTCCCGTAAGGCACTATGATGAAGAAAGCCACAGTGGATGTTTAAAGATGGGTTTTTTGTGGGGGCACACATTTTTACTTTTCCTTGGTGAACTCTAAGATCAGAATTGGTCACAGAGACAGTGTATGTTGGTTGACCTTTATGAGACACTGTGTCAACTTGTTTTCCAAAGCAGTTGGACAAATTACAATCTCAATAAAAATGTGGGTGTTTCGGGAGTTCCCTCAACTGGTTAAAGCTTGACATTGTTGGTCCTTTGGACTTAAGCTCCAAATATAGCCGGTACTGTGGCAATGGGCCGTGCTTCTTATTTATGCCCGTCAGTAATGAATGAGGCTAGAGATCTTTCACAGCTTCCCGGGTCGTCTTCACCAGGTGTCATTTAGATATTTTCCCAATTTTAAGCATGCTTATTGGTGCTCTCATTAGCTGTAAGAATGCTACCTTCATACACATACTGTATATGCTGGGTATCAGACCAAAGTCTGTAGGCGGGGACATTTTCTCCCACTCTGTGGTTTACCTTTTCTTTCATTTCCTTTACCATACTTTTCAAAGAGTAAACGCTTATGACTTTGATGAAGCCCAATGTGGAACAGTAAAAGATCATGGATGATGCTTGTTATGCCTTAAGACAGTTCTATAACCTAAAACATAACATGCATTTTTCTTCTAGGCTTTCTTGGGGGGTTGAAGTCTCAGATTTTACATTTAAGCCCGTCCTCCATTTTGGATTAACTCTATTCATGCTGTATAGTTCCCCGGCATTGTTAGCCAAACAGCAGCCCTTCCTGGGAAATTACAGCACCCAATTATTGACAGTTGACTGACGTATATGAGTCATTTGTACCCTCCACGATACACACACAGCCTGCTCTTTGAATTTACATTAAAAAGCTAAGAACATAGATCAGCCTCACAGACACAAAATCAGAACACTCTGACACCATAGTGGCTAAAGAATGAACACAAAAATGAATAAATCAGATGGGAGAACAAGACAGAGCCAGAAGCTAACTATATCTGTCAGTCACGTGGCATGAACTGGTCAATGGGAAAATAAAGAACCTTTAGCCCAACATTACACCATACACAAAGTGATTTCTAACTGACACTGAGCTAAACAGGAATGGCAAGCTACAGCAAACCTTCTAGAACAAAGAGGAATATACCCTGTTCACCGATGCGGATAAACAACAATGTCTCAAACTGGGTGAAAAAGATGCCAACCAGAGCTTCCACAGAGTGATTTAAAAAAAAAAAAAAAAAAGCCAACAACCTAAGGGGGAAGTGAGCAAAGAGATCCAAGCAGACTCTCCCCTAGAGAGGCTAATCCATGGCCAGCGAACCTGTGAGACAACATTGGTATCATGGTCCTTCCAGGAAATGCACATGACAACCACAGTGAGATGCTTCTGTACACAGACCAGAGGGCTGTAGCTGCCAGGCCTCCCATCCCCAGCTGACCAGAGAGCAACCTGTGGCTTCTGCCCATTTGTGCATCAGCAAAAAAATAGATGGAGGAACAAGATGCCGTTTAGAAGGATGTTGCTCAGCCACGACAATGAACAGACTACAGAGCAAGCAAGAGCACAGATGAATCCCATAGACATAATTTGGAACAAAAATCAGAACATGGAGAACTAATGGGTTAAAGCACTCTCCTAGCGTGGGTGGGACTCAGTTAAACCCCTGACCCCACAAAAGAAAAAAGGAAGGAAGGAAAGGAAGCATGCCATAAGATGGCATGTGTTTCAGTGTTCTAGTAACGTGAGACTTGAAATTAAAGTCGATTTTAGGGGAGGGGAGATCCACAAGAGGAGGCAGGGTGGGGCAGACCCTCTAGGAATGGAAATTCTGGAACGGGGTCTCATAACCAACATTGCTCACGTTAGACAAGCTCACCCTTTGCTGTACAGGCTGCCCTGGGTACTGTGCAGCTGGTGGCGGCTGTGGTTGACAACCTCTAGTTGCCACCATGTCCCCACCCCTCCCAGATTTTTGACAACCACAGATGTCTCCAGACATTGCTCCTTTAGAGAGCGGTGTAAAACAAAAATGTCCTAGGTTTTATATCCTTGTTCCATTGGTCAGGTGCAGAGATGGAATGGGCTCACTGTGTGGAATTTCCTCATGCTGCATACATGCCATTGGACTTTAAAAGTTCTTACATGTCAATAAAAACTACAAAAAAAAAACAAACAAAAAACAAAAAAGAACAAAACAAAGGTTTTAGAGCACGCCGGACAGTGCCAAGAGTGAATTTCAGTGTCTTCTATGCAGAGGCTAAGGTCCAGGGTGGCTCAGCGTGGATGGCCAGCAGAACCCAGGAGAAGTCTGCTCCCTCAGCCTTCCCAGGTGTTCCCCCTCCCAAATGCTTCCCAAGTAACCAGAATATCCCAAAGATGAGCTTCAGGGCAAACTCCCCCACCCCCAAACAGGGAAGCAGGTGTGTTTAGAAGACACGGCTGTGGACGAATGAGGAGAATTCAAGCCCAATCATTGTGCAAACAGGATATTCGCTTGTGTCAGAAAGATCAAAAAAGGCTTGAGGTTTTTCTTCACAGCCTCAGCCTGCCTCTCTTTCTCCGCTCTCACTTTATCTGGTCCTGGCAGTGAGCAGCAGGCGCCTCTTGCACGGCAAGCAGGAAGACATGGCTGCTGGGGAGACACAGCTCTATGCCAAGGTCTCCAACAAGCTCAAGGGCCGCAACACCTCCTCACTCCTGGACCCCCTCCTGGCCATGGGCTTCCCTGCACATACCGCGTGAGTACTTGCAGCTGTCAAGACCCCATAGCCTGGCTTCCCTGCCTGGGTAGACCCCTCTGCTCCACCTGCCACACCACTGGATAAGCAAGTGTTGCTGACTTCCAGCTAAAGTAGTCACACTAGTGTGAAATGGTGTCTCCCAAGACACCTTCCTCCTGTTTATACATGGAATGGTCTTGACCTTTGAAAGATTGGCTCTTCTACCTGACGGGCAGAGCTCCTGAAACATGTGCACACTAGAAGCCATGTGGGTCTCTGGCTGCCCACTTGTGGGGTTTGGAGGAGAATGAAGGCAGAGGCTAACTCTCCTGCCAACCAGTGACTCCAAAAGCGACAGTTCAAGGTATCTGACTCCGATATGAGTCTCTACGGCTAGGACCCCCTGAAAGAATTATTCGTGTTTCTAAGCAGCCCAGGGAAAGCCATTTGTCTCTGGGGAGAATGTCTGGAATGGCCAGGTGACAAGAGAATGGGTGAGAAATTCCAGAGACTTTGGGGACTCAGCACCACTTGGCTCATCCGAGTCCCCAGACTCAGAGAGGGCAGAGATGCTGCTGACCGTGATCACATAACCCATTGCAAACCCGCTTCTTCGCTGTAGTCCTTATTCTCAGAGAGATGTAAGAAGTGTGCTTCAGGGAGCCCAGGGCTCAGGGGGTGAGCCAAACACGCCCTCAATGGGGTAAAAAGACCCTGGCCACTGTGGAAGAAAGGGTACTGAAGCTAGCCCAGTCTCCTCTCAGTATCAGAGCTTTGGTGTCACTAAATGGGGAACAGAACCCAGGTCATCAGGAAGCCATCAGTGATGTGTTCACCATCCTGCTGCAGATGAGAACATTAAGGTCTAAAGAATAGCCTGTGTCAAGCCTAGGACAGGAGCCAGCTCCCAATGCCTCCCAGACCCACCCTGTTTTACTGCTCAAGCTGGTGGACTCGCCTTCAAAATCCCTGCTAGCTCAAACAATAAACACCTGTGTCTTAAAGCTCTTTCTTGGGCAGAGCTCAGAGTAAGGCTCATGGCATGGCCTCATTGTCACAGCCTCTCCGGGTGGCTACATCCCCACTGCTCTTCACAGCTGTAGTACTGGGCAGCATGACACTGGGTTCCAATGGGGACTTCTGTATCAGCCAATGATTATTGGGTCTATGCCCCACTCTGGTCTATTTGCCCAGCTCAGCCAAATTCAAGTCAACGTATTTACATCCCAGGTCCCAGAATGAATAAGACACATGAAGCCATGTGGAAAGCACCAATGAGCATTTGAGAGTGGGGGACACAGGAGAGGGATGTGGACCAATCTGCCCAGTGGTTGGGTAAGGGATGCTTCCTGCTGAGCAACTGGGGTGGGGCTGCATGTGTCTGGGGTGCACATGCCAGAAGTACAGCCTGTCCCAGCTAACTTACTTCAGCAGCCACAAGTACATAGGATGACTTTGTTGCAGGGTAGCAGCGTACAGAGAGAGGAAAGCAAAAAAAGAACAGAGGTCAGGTCTTAAGTTCTAGAACTCGAGGGCCCAGGAAGAAGAGGTCAAGTCATGGGAGGAGAGTGAGTGGGAACAGGGGTTGGGGCATGAATCACTGTGTGAAGGATGGAGATCTTGGCATAAGGGTTCCTGCTGGGATATTCCGCAGTTTGGCCTTGGTAGGACACAGCATGGTTGAGCAGCCACCTCATTGCTAGATCTCACCCCTTCCAAGGAAAAAAACAACTGGGCCTTGACCATTCTGTGTTCATAATCCGCAGGCTCAAAGCTCTAGCTGCGACAGGGAGGAAGACGGCAGAGGAGGCTGCAGACTGGTGAGTGCGATGGGAGCTGCAGGTCTACAGGGGGCTTGGGTGACACCACCTGGACTCTGCCCCCACCCCCCTGCCGTGGGTCCTTTGTGGGGAGGGGGTGTCTGCAGAAGTGAAGTAAAATGGCATCCATTTCCACCCAGCCTACTCCGAACCCAGGGAAGTAATATAACTCTCCTTAAGACATTAAGAGAGAATCTAGAGATTTTCTCAATTAAAAGCCAGATTTAGGACTCTAGGCAGATCTGCCCACCCCTGGTACATAAGTGTACACCCACCCACACACATACATACCCCAAAACAAAACTGACTTAATCCAAATTTGACTCAAAAAAGAGGTTTTTGTTTCTGATCTGTGTTAAGTAATCAGTGATATAAAATTCACCATGCTCTCGGGCCACTGAAAATGGAAGGAGAATTTAAAGACAGTTGCGACACCTGGAAGAGGGGTAGGGGAAAATGGCCCTCCTAAACTCCCACTCCAGCCACCTGCCCATCACCCTCAGCCTCCTGAGGGAGGGGGTGTCCTTGTTCTTAGGAGCTCCTCCCCACCCAACTGGGAAGTCCCTCCTGCTCTTATTTGAAGTAGCCACCGTGGAAATCAAACAGCAAAAAAACCAGAGCCATGGCTTGGCTGTGGCTCCCCTGTGGAAGATCTGTCGTGTGAGCAAGGTGCCTGGGGACCTGGGTTCTACATTAGTTTCCTTTCCTGCAGCCAAGATCAAATGCCTGATAAAAGCCACTTAAAGAAGGAAGGGCTTATCTGGGAGTGATTGGGTGCGAACTCCATCATGGCAGGGAAAGCCATGCAGTGGGAATGTGAGATGGCTGCTCTCTTCCTACCCACTGGGAGAAAGCTGAGAGAAATGAATGTTGGTGCATGAAGCACTCTCAGAACCCCACGCCTACCCCGATGGTGCTCAGCTCACACTCTTCGTTTTTCTCAGCCCCGTACCCCTGTACATGGGATGGTGCCACTCATTCAGGTAGAGTCTGCCTCCCTCAGTTGACTCATCCTAGAGGAAGGATGAACCGACAGTTTGTCTTTAGGATTGATTCTAGACCCCAGCAATGAACACTCAATATTTACCATCCCAGGTTCCCTTGCCAGCCCTACCAAAACGAAACAAAAATTTTTCCAGCACTGGGTAGAAGCATATGAATGGGTCTCGGGGTTCTGTGTTCTAGAGGAGCCTCTTTCTATAAGATCATAGGCCAAAGTGCATAGTCATAGGACACACAGGCAGGGGACACGCAGGCAGAGGGCACACTAACAGAGGACACACAGGCAGGGGACACACAGGGAAAGGACACACAGACAGAGGACACACAGGCAGGGGACACACAAGGAAAGGACACACAGGCAGGGGGCACACAGGCAGGGGGCACACAGGCAGGGGACACACAGACAGAGGACACACAGGCAGAGGGCACACAGGCAGGGGACACACAGGGAAAGGACACACAGACAGAGACACACAGGCAGGGGACACACAGGCAGGGGACACACAAGGAAAGGACACACAGGCAGGGGGCACACAGGCAGGGGGCACACAGGCAGGGGACACACAGACAGAGGACACGCAGGCAGAGGGCACACAGGCAGGGGACATACAGGCAGGGGACACACAGGGAAAGGACACACAGGCAGGGGACACACAGGCAGGGGACATGCATGCAGTGCCTCCACCAGGATAGGGGAATGCCCAGAGTCCTGACAGTCTGACTGCAGACTGGGGGTGGATGGTCAGGGTCTCTGCAAACTTGGGGATGCCTAGATTCCCAGCAATCTGACTTCAAAGCCAGCCTCCAGATTCAAACCATACACTATAAGCCAAGCTCAGTGCTAGGAGGGGCCTGGATATCACCTGCCAATAACAGCCTAGCCAATGAGACTGACCAAGGAAGAGGGATAAAGCCAGGTCCCCTACACTTAGCCAAGAGTCATCCTGACATGTTACAGGAACCATTTGATAACACCATTCGATCAAAAATTAATTTTGATGCTATGGGGGTGGAGAAGCTGCTGGTGCCTGTGGGAGGCAGTGTGCAGTGTCCCTCAGCTCTGGGAACTCCGCACAGTTCCACCTCTATGCAGAGATCTTAAAAAATCAGATACACACAGCAATCTTGATCACTGTGATGGAAGCTTTGGAAAAGTGAAAGCAATTAAAATGTCCCTGGATTTGGAAGTGGGTGGAAGCAATGTTCCTTATGTGTAAGATGGGTGGTGAGGCAGTCTTGGAAAGACGATGGCAACATACAGAGCCATTTATTCTCCACAATAAAGAGCTCATGGTTTATACAAACACACATGCTGGCTGGACCTGGGCGAATGCACCACTGGGGTGAACTCAGGAAAGAGGCACAAAGGGAGCCAAACAGGGGCAGGCCCCAAACCTTTGCGCATCACCATCAGGGGAATTTGTTTTCACACATGTCAGCCCAGTGACAGTACCACACTTTCTAGCCCTACTATGGCATCACAGGCAAGTGCCAGTCACCAGAGTTCTCCAAAGCTGTAAGGAAATAAGTGTGTGCCAGGCAAGCTAACTACTGCTTGGCTATTGCCTTCCAGGGATGTCCCCATGTGAATGTTGGCCTATGCTTCCTGCTCTTCCCTGGGGAACAAATGTCTTGGGGTAGAATAACTAATTTAAGGCCCTAAGTGAGTGTTTGCCTCTGGATGTGCTGGCAGGTCGCTCTAAGTAACACAGCTGCAGCCTGTGGTCCTGCTGCACTTTTGACACGATGGAAAATGGCATCAGACCCTTGAAATAGATGCCTGTGTTACCTTGACCAGTAAAAAGAAAATTGTGTCTTTTCCATTTTTACCTGCTTTGTAATGAACTTGCATGCGGTGCTGTACATTGGTTTTTCTTGTATTTAGAGTGATTTTCTCAGCCAGGTGTGGTGGTTCACACCTGTCACCCCATCAATGAGAAGGTTGAGACAAGAAGAATTATCCCCAGGACCATCTGGTGTGTAGATGGATCTGGATAGATAGATAGATAGATAGATAGATAGATAGATAGATAGATAGACAAACAGATGAATGCTTTTTAAAAATCTAAATATTCTTGAGTCAAAAGAGAACAGTAGTATTCACCTAAATTTTGTCCAATCTTTTGTGGTTTCAATTTTTCCATTTAATTTAAAGTCTGCAGTGAAACAAAAATGTGAAAATTCCCCCTGTGTTTCAATACCACAAAGATACCTAGACCAGCACTCTCCTGAAGATGGGGTCTGAGTCCCTCTGCCTTTGGCTGCACTGGCAGACTATAATGGGACTGAGAACAGGTGTGCATTGGTCTAGCCTAGAGCCACAGAGTCCCACCACTGGTACCATCTTGCAGGGATGACCACAGCACTGATGTGTTTGTATGAGACCAACATGCCTCTGACTATGGTGTCACTGCTGTTGCATGTACTCAATGGGGACAGCTCAAGTTGATATGACAATGTTCTCTGTTACAGGCTGCATGGCCACTGTAGTGATCCTTCCCTGGATGACCCCATCCCCCAGGAATATGCTCTCTTCCTCTGCCCCACCGGGTCCTTGCTGGAAAAACTCCAAGAGTTCTGGAGGGAAAGCAAACGCCAGTGCGCAAAGAACAGAGCTCACGAGGTCTTCCCTCATGTGACACTCTGCGACTTTTTCACGGTGAGTCAACCCCAGAGGCCTTAGTTGCTCACCACTGCAGCTGATGCCAATTATCAACTGACTTGTTTTAATCAAGACATTAGCATGAGCTGGCTCCTTGGCAGGAATCTTTTCCTTCCTCTGGCCAACTTCGATTTATCCTTCAGGACCTAGCTCATTTAGAGTCTTCAGCTCCCCAAGCAGAAGGAAGTGCAACCCCAGGCTCTCTGTATGTGTCAGTACCTCTAGGAGCACATCTGGGTGCTATGAAGGTGATCTGCCCCTATAAGAAGACAGATGCTGCCCTGGTCCTTATCTACCCAGAGACTAGCCAAGTCCTGAACAGAGGAAGAGCCCCCTGTGTGATGAGAACCCTGAAGAGTGCTGCTGTGAGCTGGGCATGACCAGGGTCTTTCCTATGTCAGGGCCTGGCCCTCTGAAAAAAACAAAACACATGGTGAAGTCAGCAACCTCCCCAGGGAGCATTGCCAAGGCAAGAGAATGCACAGTTGCTGGACAAAGAGAAGGCTTGAGTAAAAGGAGGAGGACCCAAAGCCATTTCCTCTATGCCCATGTCTGGTGAGCTAGAGAAGGGCCCACCTACTCCTGGGACAGCAGGCAGAGCCTTCTCCTGACACTCCACACTGCTAGAGGAGCATGAAGCACAATAGTCAATAAAGAAGCTTCTAGAAGCTATCACCTAGAAAACAACACCTCCCAAGCATCCATGAGTGCCTGAGACTAAGAGGTCTCTGGGGACAGAACTAAACCGTTGCTTTCTGGAGGTCTGGGCTGGAATCCCGTGGGACAGTGTGAACTTCCTCAGAGTTGACTGGAGACTTCCAGAGGCTAACACATGCAAACTGAGACAAGCAACAGGGGGACAGTAATAGGGGAGTTCCAACCTGGGCGTGTAAAGGGGATTAAATTCCAGAAAGGCTCTTACCTGAGATGCCTTAGATAACTGAGCAGAAAATATGGGGGTGACCCTTTTTAACTGCAGGGGCTGTGTAGGGAGTAACCCAGTGTCTTGGATAGAGAACGGCCCATAGTGATTAAGCCTCGATTCTCAACAGGTAATTAACTCAACAAGCACTGAGGACATCCATTCTTTGCTTCCCTTCCCTTAGTGTGAAGACCAGAAGGTGGAGTGTTTGTATGAGGCTCTGAGGCGTGCAGGGGACAGGATCCTGAACTCCTTCCCTACCCTGGTTCCTCTTGTTCTCCATTCTTCCATCAGCTACCTCGGCTTCTTCATCAACGACAGCCCTGCTGACGTCATTAGGGAGTTTGCCACGGCGTTTGCCACGGAGGCATTAGTCTTGGCAGGTGGGGATCCCAGCTGTGGGAAGACACACTGTTCCCTTTGGGTCCCAGAACTGCCACACCTAAAGCCTTGATGGACTATCTCCTGTCCGTGATGATGGCTCTTTAATGTCTGCCATCCAAGGGATAGTTTGGTTCTTGTCTGGAAACAGCACACCAGACACTTCCCTCAGACAGACGCCCATCTCTATGCTCCCAGACGAGTCTTATAGACCTCACCTTAAAGTGGGGAAGGAAATTCCAGGGATGCATCTCAGTTAGTAAGAGTGAATGAGGTTTGATCCTCAGTGCTACATATCCCAGGCATGAGGTCCACATACTTATAATCCAAAAAGGAGAGGCAAGAGGGCCAGAAGTTCAAGGACACCCTTCACTGCAGAGCAAGTGTGAGCCATACCTTTATTACACCAGACCCTGTCTCCCCAAAAATAAGAAAAAGAGGGAGGGGAAGAAAGGAAGGAAGGAAGGAAGAAAGAAAGGGGAAGGAAGAAAGGAGGAAGGAAGGAAGGAGGAAGGAAGGAGGAAGGAGGAAGGAAGGAATATGAGGAAACTACACTGTCCAGCATGACTGTATTAGGTTATACATGGTCCCCTCCCCCCAGGAACCTCAGAATGGGACCGTATTCAACAGTGGGTTCTTTAATGATGCAATTAGTTAAGATGAGGTTACACTGGAGTAAAGTGGCCCTAAATCAATAACTGGTTTCCTGAAAAGGACACATGGAGATAACAAGGAGGCCACTTGGCCACAGAGACAGAATTGGGTAGGGTAGAGTCACAGCCCAGGATGCAGGGGGCGGGCACTAAAAGCTGGATGACACCAAAGGACCTACCCTAGAGCCCTCAGAAGGAATGTGTCCATGCCCACACCTGGATTTTGAACTTCTAACCTCCAAATTCCTAAGACATAAATTCCTATTGCTTTACGCAGCCCAGTTTTGATACCCTGTTACAGCAGGAAGTGAGTGTCATGCTCATCCATCCTGATGGCCTAAAAATGAGCATTCTGCCTCACTGAACACAACCAGGGCTCTGTGTTGTTAGACCTCACTTCCTGGGAGAGCTGGCCCTGAGCTCTTACCTATCTCCTGACCCTGAGCAGGCTCTTCCTGCCCTCCCGGTTATGCCAGTCTGACCTGACCTGAGAGGCTAGAAATCCCTCCTGAGGTGACAGCTCAGTGGTGTCCTGAGTCCCTCCCTGCCCACGCCAGCCCTCTCGGTGAAACTGAACCCAGATACACAGGGCAACAACAGAGGGGAACAAAAGCCCATTTAGAAGTCAGCATGACTCACCCTGTCTCTGGGGAAGCCAGACCAAGTCTTTTCCAGGCTATGCTGATTCACAAGGAAACCCATCCTCCCCAACTGCTAAAAAGTGTCACAAAAGGAAATTCCTATACCTACACACACCTTCATGACACCTGTGCTGGCTGCCTTCCCAGAGGCTTGGGACTCAGGGACCTGTCTAGGGTCTAGCTGGTGCTAAAGGTTCCCTGTGTGGAGAATGCTGTGATGAACCTAGTATCATGGTGTTGAACCTTCCAGAACTTTTATTAGGGGAATAGCAAGTCCTGTTTGCTTCCTTCCCCACACGGAGAAGTGGCAAGCAGTTTGGGGGCACTGAAAGTCCTCTGAGGACCTTAGAGTGCTGGAGCCAGCTATCTTTGTCCTCAAGTCCCAGCTGTCATAAAGGAAGCTAAGTCAGAGCATGACTCTCAGTCAAGGCTCTGTTGTGGCAAGGACAAAAGAGTCTTGCAGCAGGTCCCTCTATGGCAAAGTCTGTCATTCCTATGAAGATACCAGACTGCCTCCTCAGAGTCTGAGAGGCTTTATTACCAGCTGCCACCACAGCTGGCTGTTCCTGTGATGCCAGTGTCTCTTTTTTATCCAAAAGACTCAAAGGTCAACCAGGAGCCAAGGGCTTCTCTAGGTCAGAGGCTGTCACAAAGCACTGGGCCTCAGCACTACCAAGGCTTCCAGTGAGGAAAGTCAAATGAACATTAGACAAGCTGCAGGTTTTACAGGTTATTGCTCAAGACCCTTCTTTAAGCAAAAGGCATTAGTCTGGGGTGTAGATGTAGCTCAGTGGGTAGAGTGTTTGCCTAGCAACCATGAGGCCCTAAGTTCAGTCCCTAGCAACACATAAACCAGATATGGGAGTGCACATTTATGATCCTGGCACTCGGGAGATAGAGTTGGGAGGATCAGACGTTCAAGGTCATCCTTAGCTTGACATAACAAATTCAAAACAGTCTAGGATGCATGAGATTCTGCCTCGAACCAAAACAGAGTCTAGGCCCTGCTGTGCCGTGTGTGCACCAGAGAATGAAGGGGCCATTTGCTGCATTTATACCACTCAAACTAGCTGCAGACTAAGAGCTCTCAAGACTTTGAGCCACATCTTTGTGCCTACCTTTTGTTTTTCTTCAGAAACTCTGCAAGCATCCAACCACATCCTTTCTAAGAGGGGGAGCCCAGTCCTTGCCTTGTCCAGAAAGCACCAACACTAAGAAGCAGTCATGATTAGAAAGGATTTCTGCCTGTTCCAGACAGACAGGCTGACATTCAGGGACAGGTTCTCAGCACCCCCATCCTCACCTGACATTCAGAATGGGTACCCAACACCCTGTGTTCACTAGACATTCAACATCCGGCAATTCCTTGACTCCACAGACTGCACCGTCAAGCCCTGCACTAAGCAACTGCACCTGACCTTGGCCCATAAGTTCTACCCTCACCATCAAAGGACCCTGGAGCAGCTGGCCAGAACCATCCAGCCCAGCCACACCTGCCAGTGGACAGCTGCCCTGTACTCCCGGGACATGCGTTTTGTACACTACCAGGTGAGAGGAACTGACCAGGTTGGTGGGGACGGCCCAGCCTGTCTTGCTAATAGGAAGCTCACTTCAAAACCTTCCCTTAAGAGAAGAGGGGGCTCCCCTCTGCTAGATCCCTCTCCTTGTGTGCAGTTAAGAAGTTGCATTCCTTTATAGTTGAGTTGGGCATACACAATCATTTCAAAAGATAATGAAAGCTCTCCCATTATATTAGAAAAGCTCATTGTCAAGATGTGTTAATACATGGTTTGCTTGTTAAATCACCTTATGTAATGATGTTGGTGGGCTTTGTTCCAAAGCTTCCTTTCCTAAGAGCTAATTAGGTGAGGAAGAAAGTATGTTGCACAGAGAATAAGTATGAGGGAACCACCAAATTCCCTGTCAGAAGTTGTGAATAGCTTCACACAAAGGAAGGTGGCTATACACGTTTGGTCACACTGTAAGGTCTTTCCCATAAGAGAAACAGATGATGGATAAGTAGATAGGTGAGTGGGTGAATAAGGGGATGGATGGATGGATGATGAAAATGGATAGCTAAGTAGATAGATGAATGGATGGGTGGGTGGATGCATAAGTGGATAGATGGATGGATGGATGGATGGATGGATGGATGGATGGATGAAAGTATTCATGGGTGGATAGATGCCTGAATAGATGGATAGATAGATGTATGGATGGCGGGAGGAATGGGTGGATGAATGGATGGACAGATGGATGGATAGATGGATGGATGGATGGATGGATGGATGGATAAATGGATGAGTAAGTGGGTTGACAGATGGGTAGGCAGGTAGATGGATGAGTAGATAAATAGATAGATAACTGGATAGATGCATGAATGGGAAAATGAATGGGTAGCTTGATGGACAGAGAGATGAATAAAAAGTAGATGGAGGGATAGATGGAGAAATGGAAGGATGGGTATGTGAGTGGATGGACAGATGAATGCATGAGTGGATGGGTGGTAGGTGGGCAAGGGATGAGAAAACATGTTGGTGGGCTGATAAATAAATGGACAAGTGGGTTGGTGCATGAGTAGGTAGATGGGTAAACAGAAGAATTGGTGGAAGATAGACATTAAACACTGGTATTTGGCACTGGTTCACAGTGGTTCACACTGACTCCACACTGTATATCATTAGGCAAAGACATGATGGGGCCTTGGAGGCATAAAACACATCAGAGAAGCCAGAAAGCTAGAAAGGCTTCCTGATGCTATTGCTTCCCAGGCAAACCCTCTCTAAGACATGGGTCTACTTCTAGACCCTGAAGGCACTGTTCCAGTATAAACCCCAGAATGCAGATGAGCTAATGCTCAGCCCTGGTGACTACATCTTCGTGGACCCCACTCAACAGGAAGAAGCCAGTGAGGGCTGGGCCATTGGGACCTCACATCGGACTGGCTGCCGGGGCTTCCTGCCAGAGAACTACACAGAGCGAGCCAATGAGGCTGACACCTGGGTTAAGCACAGGTGAGAGCTGTCCGTTCTCAATCAGTTACCACCTGAAACAGTAGCACAGTGAGGATGTGCTTCTAGGTGGTTTGGTCCTTAGAAAAATAGTCCTGAGTTGGGCGGTAGTGGCAAACACCTTTAAAACCAACACTCGGGAGGCAGAGGTAGGCAGATCTCTGTGAGTTCAAGGCCAGCCTGGTCTACAAAGCTACACAAAGAAACTCTGTCTCGAAAACTATTTTTTTTTTTAAAGGAGAAGAAAGAAAAGAAAAGAAAAACAGTCCCCCATACTGGCCACATTATCCCTCTGTGCACACAATAAACTTATAATCTATAATGGTTTGTGCTGATAACCCTCCAGAAATCAGATTGCTTCAATTACTCTTCTGAGATAGTCTGTAAAATACTTCCTTCTTATGAATATCCCACAGTGTGCACAGAGTTCAGAACTAGGCCTCACAGTGGCCTAAGGAAGGTTAGCAATTTTCTAATGTTCTATGGCAAAATGACACAAATTTCCTGGGTCCTCTGCTCGGGGTCCTACAAGACTGTGATCCTAGCCTGGCTGGCACTGGGGTCTCATCTGAGGCCCAGGGCCCTTCCCTAGACTCATATGGTTGTTGGTTAAATGTATTTCCTGGAAGCTGGCATACTCTTGATGGTTTGTTTCTTCTAGCTCAGTTGGCCAGTCTGTTTATTTTAACATCTAGCACCGTCTGTCAAGGCTGAGGATTTTCAAAATGATCAGAACTAGGGTGTTGTTGTCTTAAGTATGTTGGTTCCTCCAACAATGTATCTATCTCCTCTCCAATTTTACTCTGAAAAAGGAGAAACTTGGTGATAGCTTTGACAGTGTGCTTAGAGACAGCCTGAGCTACTTCATCCTTTACCAGTTTTGCTTCCCAGGAACAGTGTTGCTAAGCATTTTGCTGCCACACAGAGACCTTCTCCCCAGCTTTCTATGTCTGTGTCTCAATCCTGTGGGCACCCTTGGGCAGCAGCTGTTGCTTTCACACTCTATTTGCACTCTGCCAGTAATAACCATGACTTTTGATTTGCTCTTTCTCTGAGTGTATGTGTGTGTGTTAACACACATGCCAGCACATTGTACATGTGAGTGTTATATGTGTTTGCTGGACATTGTGGACAGATTTTCTAGCTTCTTGATATCCAGGGAGAATTTTCCTGTATCTCTTTCTACAAGGCTCACAAGGCAAAGCTGTGGAAACCATGCTGCATTATTTTTGTGCCTATTGGAAGCCAGTTAAAGAGTGTAGTAAAAGTTTTGGTAGCTAAAACTTCTGTCTAGAATAAATTAAGAAGCAACGTACTTTGACTATTTGCAGCAAATGATTGATTTTAGCCATTTTTACCAAACCATTATTTAAAAGTGTAGCCATGGCTGGCAGAAGCTCATGGGGAAAATATTTTTTTAATTTATTTTATATAACATAGTCCATTTAAATGAAAACAAACATTTATAGACAATATTTGGAATTTGGGCATTGTTCTTTCCAAACTACTTCCTGCTGGTAAGAGGCGCTGTCATGGGGGATTCGAAGAAGATTCAGAAATCCTGGCTGTAGTCTGTAAGGCTGCTTTGTCCAGCTGTTTTGAATGTAGGATCACCTCGAACTCTGTTTCAGGTGGTCTGGCTTGATCAAACCACATTAGTCTGGAAGGAATCCACATCTTTTCATTTTCTGTGGAAACAAAAATAGAAATCCTTTTCCCCAGTGACTTGTCCTTCAACTTAAATTTTGGAGTCAAAGCATTTTTTTAATTTAATTTATTATTTTACATGTTGATCCCAGTTCCCTCTTCCTCCCTCCCTCCCTCCTTCCCTCCCTTTTACCCTCTCTGCCCTTTCACATGCACTCTAACCACCCTCCCCTCCCATCCCCCCACTCCAATTCCATATGTAGGGGAATGCCATCCAGTTGGGGTCATGTAGATCTGACAGGTCATGTGAAGTAGGGACTAGGGCTTCTCTCCTGTCTCTAGGTTAAGGCAGTTATCCCTCCATGGGGGATGTGTTCACAAGGTCCTTTTGTGCACCAGGGATACATCCTGGCTCCACTGTCTGAGGTCCCTTAGACTGCTCAGTCCTTCTGGCTGAGACCCATATTCAGGGGGGCCTGAGTCAGCCCCATGCTGGCTTCCCAGCTATCAGTCTAATGGCCGTTAGCTCCTCCTTGTTCAGGTAAGCTGTCTGTATGTGTTTCTGCCACATGGTCTTGTCCTCTCCATCTGCTTCTGGGTTCTAGTTCGACTCAGTGTTTATGTATGGGTGTTTGATCCTGTTTCCAACAGGCATTAGTTGAGGGCTCCATGGATAAGTTAGTTGTTGATCTCACTCTCCGGGAAGGGCATTTATGATAGCCTTTCCACGGATCATGGGGAAAATATTAAGGGAGATCAGATGAACTCTGCTACTGTTTCTCCCTGTTAATTAAGCTTACATTTGGGTTTGTGTGACAAGTCAGGGACAACATTTGTGTCCTTGCCTCTCCCTACAAATGCAGTTGACAACAGAGTAAGTCTCCCCCACACCCGTAGCCAGGCAGGTGGTCATGTAACCCAGGTTGCCCTGGGACTCTCTATGACCTTGAACTTCTAATCCTCCTGCCTCCATTTCCAGAGTACTGGTATTACAGGCATGTGCCATCATATGGGTTTCATGTATGCTAGGCAACTGAGCTAACCATGCATTCTTATATGCATTAGGAATCTGCCATATACACTAATATAAAAGAGCATTTAAAATGCATGGATGCAGCCCGTTCTGCAGTGGGCCACTCCATGTCACCTTAGCCTCATACACTAATTTATAAGAGCTGAGGATTGTACCTACAAATGGGAAGAAAAACTCAGCCATGATTCCAAGGCTTTTACATCAACTGTCAGCTCATGATCCACTAAGTCACAGGGGCCTGTAGAGAGTGAGCTGAACACGCCCTCCTGTGAGATCTGAGTTCCCAGCTTGGATGCTGAAGAGATGAGCAATATCACAAAATCAAGGAAGCTTTGGTTTCCTGCAGACCCCATATGATCAGTCAGCTGCTTTAGAAACAGCTAGCAGAACATAGGACAGGAGATGTTGGCATCAGACTCCAGGAGGCTTGGGAGTGGGTGGCCCTGTAACCCCTCATCCTTCTCCCCACTCCAAGGGCAGAAAATCTCACTGTGGCAAAGGAGCCATTGGGCAAGGGACAAGCCCAGACTCTGAAGCTACAGCAGAGCCTCTGCATGGAGCTGTGGCTAGCACCGGAGCCACTTCATTGTTAATGTGATCCTGACCTCCCTGAGAGACCAGTTTCTGTTAGGAACCAGTGTTCCTATATTCACAGGAGTTACAAGAAAAAGCAAGTTCTAGCTGTGGTGTGCCTGATGCCCCCTGGATCAGAACTACCCCTTCCCCTCAGCATAATGACAAGCCCCCCAGGCTGACTAAAGGGTGACTGTAGGCTGGGAGGTAGCAGTGGGTTGGCTATGGCTTCTAAAGCTGCTAAACATTCTCTGAAATATTTAAAGAAGTTTAAAACTAGGGCTTGGTGATGCTCAGCTTTAATTCTAGTACTTTGGAGGCAGAGTCAGGTGCACCTCTGTGAGTTCCAAGGCAGCCAGGGCTACACAGTGAGACCCTGTGTCAAGAGAGGGCATCTCTGAATGTGTGGTGAAAATGTTAATCAGTGGGGAATATAGTCAGACAGCAGGTACACAGATAGTTGACCTATGAAGAGGCAGCTTGTTGTATAGACATTTGATAGTCTCTCCCAAGACCACAGGACTCACACAGGGCATGCTTGGTGTCAACAGCAAGAATCGCTGGTATATGCCACCACCCAGGGAAAGATCTGCAAACCGCATGGGAGAGGCCCCTTCCTGCATAGGACACCTTCTCAGCCCTGGAGGTGGCTGCCCTGTGAACACATTATAACCCACCAGCACCAGTGTAACCTCTTCAGCCTTTAAGATGGTGGCTGCAGGGTTCTGAGGACACAGTAGTCCTGATCCAGCACCCATCTGCTACTTAGAAACCACAGGTTACTGGAAGGTGGCTGTGGACACATACACACACACACACACACACACACACACACACACACACTCCTGAGCTTCCTCAGTGTCAGGCATTTTCACAGGGTGTATATACAGCCTGGCTGCAGATCAGAGAGGCAGGGCTGAGAGTTAGAGCCCAGGAGGAGCTAAAGCTATCTTCCAACCACGTGAGGACATTCCATCCCAGAAGACATCAAACCCCACAAACCAAGCTGGTGGCAGGAGACTCTGGCACAGAAAGGGTACTGTTGCTTGATGAAATGTATCCTTCCAGAAACTCATATGTTGAAGCCCAGGTTGGCTTTTTTTTTTTTTTTTTAAGAAGGACTTTTAAATTAAGGTAAAACAAGGTCTTACTATGATACTTTGTTCAGAGGGACGATCATTGAGGACACAGGGAGAAGATGTCATCTTATCTTCAAGCCCAGGATAGAATACCCAAGACAAATCACAAGCTTGGACATCCCAGTCTCCAGGGAGTGAGAAAATGAAACCTGTTCTGTCATCGAAGCCCCAGTCTGTGTGACAGTAACCCCAGGACATTAATGCAGTGACTCAGTCTTTGAAATGACACACACTAAAGTGACCCCTTCTAACAACAAAAGAGAATGGAAACATCTATCTCTATGGCACAAGTTAACCTCCAAGTGACTCTCTTAAGTCCAAGAGAAAAACAAACATGCCACATGTGTCCCTCTCTCCCTTCACCACCAATGCTTGCAGTTTTAATTGAAAGACTATGGGAGACTTCCTTTCTGACTGTAAAGTTCACAGATGTCACTCAGAGATAACAATGCTTTTACTGTCTGAGTCGTGAGCCCCGGGTTACACAGGTGCCCCTGCCTTGCCCTCAGGAAGAAGAAAGACCAGCACTTCCTGTGCAGGGATGTTTCAGCTGTACCTGCCCTGTGACATGCTTGCTGAAGAGAGATTGTCAGCGGCCCCAGTGCGTGTCACTCTTCAGCTGTGGGAGCCTCTGATGCCTGCATTTCCACCCACTGGTGCTCGTGGTGTGAGACTACATGAAGAAAGTCCACGTCTTTTGGTTGTGTGCCCAGCCTCCAGCCCAAGTCCATCTGGAAGAGCCCATAAAAGTTTACAGGACAGGACACAATGACAGGAACAGAGGACCATAACTTACAAGTAATCAAAAAAAAATTGTGATAAGACTAAATAAATGGCCCAGCAATTAAGAGCCCTGGCTGCCCTTTCAGAGGGCCCAGGTTCAATTCCCAGCACCCACTTCGGGCTTGCAATTGTAACTCCAGTCCCGGGCATCTGATGCCCTCTTCTGGCCTCTATGGATGTCAGGTGTATGCATGATGGACAGATGTACACATAGGCAAAACTTTCGTATACATGAAATAAAACATTTAAATGAACGAACGAACTATGGAAAAATGCCACAAAGGCCGTAGATGTTCTGGGGCTGGTTACAGGTGTCAGACAGATGACCGCAGCCAAGATGCAGGGTAAAAGGATGCCATGTAGCTCTAGACAGGCTGGAGTCATGTGGAGCTGTTAGCTGCCATGTGCTAATCTGTTGTAAGAAAAGGGCTGAGTGAATAAAAACTTGCCTCATGAGTAGATGAGGACAGTGAATCACAGAGACCTGTCACCTTCAGGATCACTTCTGGGTTTTACGACAGGACAAAACCCTAGTGCCAGCATTTGTTTGAATGTCGTGGAAAGGATGAATGAAGCATTTCTCTAGAAGAAATGTTGGAAGAGACGTGCTGAGAAGACTTCCAGGGCAAAGTCATGCGGGGGATCAGTATGCAGCTCAGCCTGTGGAGGGCTTGCCCAGCACATACAAGGCCCTGCGTTTGATCTGCAGCAACTCCTATACCCAGATGTGGTGGTACACACCTGCAGTCCCAGCATTTGTCAGTAGGATTAGGAGTTCAAAATTATCCTTGGCTACACAGTTAGTCTAAGGCCAGCCTGGCATACATGAGACCCTTTCTCCAAAAGTGTATTATTTTAAAGGAGATTGTATAATGGTATAATACACTAAATATCAAAATAGGGTTTTAGCTTGAAGGAAAGAAGATAGCTGGATGGGACAGGCCAGGTATTAGGTGACAGAGAAGCTTCCTTTGCATGCTGGGAAATCCATGTCTGGGAGCCCTGCAGAACCTGGTAGAGAATAGTGAATGACATCAATGGTATTTATACTCCATCCCCATTGTTCACCCAAGTCAATGCCTGGCAGAAACAAGAAATAAGCAGAAAACATGTGTCTGGCTTCTGGACTGAGAGTTTTAATGGTGTGGAGGCAGCAGGGTATCTCAGAAGGCTTCATAGGCCTGTCTTTAATGGTGACCAGTCACTGCTTGACATCCTTGTCCTTTGTACATTCAGAATGTACACTTGCCACCACAGGGCAGGACAAGATGTTATGGACTCCACACTCCTGTGAGAGGCGTCGTCTGTCTGAGCAGTTTCCTGCCTGAACCTCTCCTTTAAAATGGCTGTGGCTCTGGCCACAGGTGATCCTAAGCCATACTCTTACCCAAAGCCAGACCAATGGTCCCATCTGTATCTCACTGGAGGATGTCCAGACTTACAGTGGACCAAGTTGAACTTCACAGACTCCTCATCTCATTCAAGAGCAATTCACTCTTTCCTATCACTGTGCTAGAAAGTCTGGAGTTAAGCTTACACATGTGCCAGTGGTAATGCACTTACCTAATGTGTGAGGCCCAGGTATGATTCCTAACACATAAAGAGACGGTGTGGGGGAATGTCCAGTCCAGCAGACTTGTCTGGTCTGTGCTTGAAAGGAGGGAGGATTGAGGAAACAAATAGACAAGAAACAGAAGATAGTGTCAGGAGGGCATCCAGTAAATAGTGTGATCAGCCCCAAGTTTTTGCTGTAAGTTCCTATATACCCCAGTCAAAGTGGGAGAGGCAAAAGACCTCCTTACCATGATACAAGGAACAAACAAATGTAATTACCTCCTTAAAACACAAAACATCAAATAACCACACCCTAAACTAAACATCCTGTTGCTTAGATAAGATATCCAGCAGACATGCCTTAGGCCTAATATCCTGTTGTCTAGGCAAGACATACAGTAACCACACCTTAGGCCAAACACCCTGTGGTTTAACCTTGAGAGCAATAACAGGCTCGAACTCTCAGACCTTAAGTCAAGATGGAGAGGAGCCATTTCTGTGGGCCTCCACAGGGGAGAGAATAATGATGGGGGGGGGAGAGAGAGGGAGAGGAGTCTGGCGTGGAGCCCTTCCCATCACCCAGGCTCTGTATCTAGTTCATCAAGAGCTGCTATCCACATAGTCACCAAATCTAACTGCTCCTTGCACCAATGGGAACCTGCAGTATCAGGGTTCTGCACCCATAGAAGCTTCTCTTTTACATCATCACTGCCTCTCCTCCCTTGGCTCATTCTGCTGCAGCCACACTGGCCTCTGCAGCTCCTCAAACCCTCAAAAGAGTTGAGCTCCTGCATGTCTGCCTTCTCAACCTGCCCCAGCATCCCCTTCTTCATCCCCCGCCCACCTACCTGCTGTGTCAACCACAGCCCTGAGAGGTTTGGGGAAATTGTACCCACCCCCAGATAGCCAGAAGCCTTCTCATCCAGGCCACCCCTGCCTTATTGCAGCCCATGATACTCCTGCAACTCAACTATGCAATCTGCTTTTCAGAAAAAGTAGGTCAGATTCTAAATATGGGTGGATGTGGGGAAGATTAAGTCGTTGACTTCAGTGGCTGACAGAATCATGGGTACCTTTTCTTTTTCGGTATGCTGTGACCATTTTCCATGTTTCCAATAATGACTAGAATCAAAATATTCCGTGTCCCTAAAGGAATTGGAGATTAGCCCTCTGGGTCAACAGAAAGTGAGAGCAAAGGTTCTCAGACACAAAGGGTGGTAGGCAGGATTTCTCACAGAACGAAACCCAGAAAAGTCCGGAATGTCTGTCTAAGAACTGCATATGCAAATGGCTGTCACTAGGGCTGGGAATTATTTTTGAATCAATTACATAAACCTTTCCTTGTATGAAATGGCTTCTGCCCTGGAGGAATCACTCCTTTTCTGCTCCAAGGAGGAGTCACATGGCCATTGCTCTGTGTTGCTCATTCACCCTCCTCTCTCTTGCCACCTGCCTACTCTTTCCAGACAGGAAGGAACTCTGTGGGTGCAACACCCCTTCCTGTTTCACTCCAGTTTGCTTTGATTCTCCCCCACCCACCCCACGTGTCCCCAGAGCACCCAAATGCCTGTCCACCTCGTGGCACTTTAAGTAATTTACAGTTTCCTGGTTACCTGGAAAGTCCTCAGGTGCCATCAGCACCCACCACCCACAGAATGCATCCCCATGCTCCCACAGCTCTTGAGGGTGTCTGGCCACCATTCTAGTATCCCAACTGCTTCCACCTGAACATATGGTAAATCAGAACATGGTATGTGAGAGAAACAGATTTGATAGTCACCAAAGGCACAGAACCAATAGGCTGTAGAAATGGGGGTAGGGTGCAGTAGGGAAGGATCTGTTAATGTTTTGACTGGCAGATCTGAAGTCTGCTGGGCAGCCCATCAGGCAGGACTCAGGAAAGATCTAGGGCTACAGCTTATGTCTGAAGGTGGCCTGGAGACAGAATCCCCTCCTCCACGGAGACCTCCATCTATCCTGTCATAAGACTCTCACCCTACCCTACGTGCATGGGGTCTGTTTTGCCCAAGGTCTGCTGACCTCACCAGTAGTGTCATTTAAAAAGCACCTTCTTAGCAATGTTGGAAACAGAGCTTGGCACAGTGGCACACATCTGCAGCTCCAGCTACTTAGAAGGTTGAGGTAAGAGGCTGTCTTGAGCCAAGAGTTCATGGCCAACCTGGGCCACATGGAGAAACTGCCATTTCCAAAATAACATAACATTTGAACTACAGCTGAGCACAGTGTTGAGGCAGGTCTGGCTTTGTGGTGATGCTAGAGCGATGAGCCAACTGCAGCCTCCTTGGGTCATGCCCTACGCATTCCGAATACTTGACTTTATTTTGTGATGAGGTCGAGGTAGATATTCCCAGGAACATCCGCGATCAGATACCATGGTGACAACACGTTATGTCTCTAACCTCTCCTCTTCCCCCACAGGACATACACATTCAGTCTAGCCATGGACCTGAACTCTAGGAAGGATGGTGAAGCCAGCAGCAGGAGAAATGGGGAATTCCACACTCCATCAGTGTCAGGGAACATTAGCAGCATACAGGCTTTGCAGGTAACAGAACCCTGTTTTTGTTAGTAAACCACATTCATTAGTTTAACACCCTTGGTAGACATTAGCTGCTAGAATTTGGCTTTTCTCCCAAGTGAGGATGAACCCTTACACACAGGGGCCCCTCCTGATGAATGATGTACCACTGCTAAGGACCCTCAAGCTGCTCCCCAAAGTATAGGCCTCCCCAAGAGCATAGTGGGCACATACCCTGTGACTGGGAAATGTAAAGGACAGCCTGAAAAGTAAGGAATGTTCCAGAGAGGTACTGCCTCCTGTGACTTAAGGCTGCTGGACATTGTCAGGCAAACAATTAAATTAAAATATGGCCTTTGTACCTCTACATCATAGTGTTTATTATCCCTTGATTCAACCAACTGGGGGTAGCAAGCATTGTAGAAGACTACATCTTGTCTTAATCAGCTTCCCAGTATTGCAACAAAGCACTTAAAATGAGAGGCTTCAAATAAAAAATGGTTTGTTTGGTTTGTCATGGTCTTAGAGTCTTCAGTCCATCACTATTGTGCCTATTGCTTTGGGCCTGTAGTGGTGCAATTTGCCATGATGGAGGCAGATAGTAGAGGAGACTTGGTTACCTGACGGAAGCTAGAAAGCAAAGAGATGTGTGGAGTAAGGTTTTTCCACCAGCCTAGTCTCACCACTGAGCCAGCCCCAATTAACACACCGAGACTCTGTATTTGATATAATACTGTTGGCCAGGTACTAGTTTCTTATCGGCTAGCTCTGTTTTAAATATTAACCCATTTCTATTAATCTAAGTATTTCCGTGTGGTTTCACCTTACCGGGGAGTGGGGCCGGCATGTGGTCTCCCCAGTCTCTCCATGCTGACTCCTCCTCACTACTTCCTCAAATCCTCCTTGTCTCCTAGTCCCGCCTATCTTGCTTTCCTATTGGCCAACAGTGCTTTATTCATTAACCAGTATGAGAAACATATTTACAGAATGACATCTCCCATCAAAGAGAGGAAAGGGCTGGGTCCCAATGACTCTTCAAAATCCCAAGTCTAGTGACCCAACTTCTTCCCACAAGTCCTGCCTCCTAAAGGGCCCTGTCTCAGTAGTAACATAGGCTGGCAGTCAAGCCTTCCACACTCAGGCCCTTAAATAACATTCAAGATCCAAACTGGCTGTGGCAACACCTGTCCATAATCCCAGCACTTGGGAGATAGAGGCAGGAGGATAGCTGTGTGTCTGAGACCAACCTGAGGTACATAGAAAGTTCCAGGGCAGCCTGGGCTACAGTGTCAGACCATGTCTCAAAACAAAACATGGAAGGAAGAAAGAAAGGGAGGGGAGAAGGGAGGGAGGGAGAGAGGGAGGGAGGGAGGAAGGGAGGGAGGGAGGGAGGGAGGGAGGGAGTCAATAGTTGTGCCAGCACTGAATGCATACAGACTTCTCCTGCCAATGTTCTCTAAGCAATATGACATACCTATTGTTCATATAGCATTAAATGGCATTGGGTGTTTAAGTTGTCTGGAGATGAGTTATAGTACACAAGGGATGTGTCTATGATCAAGACAATTATCATGCCATTTTATACAAGGGACATGAGCATCAGTGGAGTTTGGTACCTGCAGGGGTCCTCGGCCCCCTCAGTGCACTGAGGGGTGACTGTCCTACTCACTAAGAGCACTTGGGCAGGCAGAGATTAGCCAGCTGGAGGAAGGCAATATGGAAGAAGATCAAGGGTTCTTACCTGGGTGCTCAGAGGCAAAGCACACACCTGGGCACTACGAGAAAGCTGCCTTGAGTTGTATTCAAACACCAGTGGTCCTGGGGGGCTCCTCAGAAAAGGAAGAGCAGCAATAAGTGAGGAGACTATTAATAGACTGATATATGGTAGAGAGAAAGGGGAGGACATATCAAGAAAGAAAGAGGGGAAAGGAAGGGATGGAGGAAGGAGATAGGGAGGGAGAAAGATAATAGATGATGATGATGAAGATAGATAAGTGGTATGTGGGTAGATTATTAGAAGATTATAGGTGAATAGATAGATAATATATGGTAGATATAGTACATTGGTAGGCAAGTGATTATGTATTAGTTACTTTTCTATTGATAAAATACTATAACCAAGGTAACTTATAAAAGAAAGTTTATTTGGCTTACAGTTTATATTAGTCAGATTGCTCTAGAGAAACAGAACTGATAAAATAAATATCTATGTATTAAAAGGGGAGGTACAATGGTTCACAGGTTGTGGTCCAGATAGTCCAATAATGGCTGTCTCCCAGTGGAAAGGCCAAGAATCCAGTAGGTGTTCAGTCCAGGAGGCTGGATGTCCAGCAGTCTCAATCTGGTACTGGAGTCCCAGAGGATTCCTAGAAAGTTACTGGTCTTCAGTGATAGGAAGTGCTGCCTTCATGATAGGAAGGCATGGCAGCAAGCAACTGCATGATTGACAAGAACAAGAAGCCAACAGTTCACATCTTCAAGTGCAAGCATGAAATATAGAGCACAAACTGGAAGTGAGGCAAGGCTCTCAACCCTCTAAGTCTAATGATGTGCTTCCTCCAACAAGGGTGCACTTATTAAACCCTCCCCCAAACGGACCAAGTTTCAAATACCTAAGCCTATAGGGATATGCTTCTCATTACAACCACCAAAGGTTAATAAATAGATGATAGATAGGTAGGTATGTAGGTAGATGACAGATAGATAGATAGATAGATAGATAGATAGATAGATAGATAGATAGGCAAATAACACAAATTTATGCAGTCCAACAGGAAGGTAGAGAAATAGTTAGATAAGGAAGTATGTAGGTAGATAAATAAATTTAAAATATGGGTAGATGATAAAAATAGATACATATATACATACATGAAAGAAAGAAAGGATGGAAGGGAGAGGCAGAGGGAGGAAGGAAGGGAGGAAATCAGACAAATAATACAAATTTAGACAGTCTGACAGGTAGGGATATATATATATATATATATATATATATATATATATATTTCCAAATACATACATATATATGTATGTATTTGGAAATAGATTAGATAGATAAATGATAAATAGATGATAGATAGATAGATAGATAGATAGATAGATAGATAGATAGATAGATAGAGTCCTCTTTTCATCTCTGTTATGATGTCATGGTGCCTAGGAAATTAAACATAAAAAGAAATGGAAGCAGTCCCCCAGCCTCATCACTGTGAAGGCTAACAGCCTGACCCAGTTGCTGAACAGCTTGGGGGAGGCTGTGGAGCAAGTCTGATTAATAACTCTGTGTCCCATTGCTCCTACCACAGGCTACCATCATGAGGAGAGGCGTGTTGGTAGTACGCCATGGAGAGAGAGTGGACCAGGTCTTTGGGAAATCTTGGCTACAGCAGTGCACTACCACCGATGGTAAGTTGAGTACAGATGACTCTAGGCAGACTGTCTTTGAGGGACCCTAAATCCCAACAGTGCTGGCTTTTCGAGCAACCATGACATACCTGCTGCTGGGAGATGCCAGTGCCCCAAGGCTTTGGCGTCACTTGTGTGGATCTGGAAACCCACCCACATACACATTGGTCACATCTGAGCCAGGCCCTTGGTGTCAGTTCAGTGACTTGTGACAATTCTGGTTTCCCCTTTTCTCTAATGAGGAGGTTAATCCATTTGTTTCTGGTCCCACAGCTGAGGGTCAGAATTTTTAACAGATGGATAGATCTTAGAGGTCAATGTCAGACTCAAGGATGCCAGGCAGCCCCTGTTGTCTGGTTCTACATTTAAGCCCCTGACTTAAGAGTTCCCAAGGTAGGGCACCTCCAGCCAAGTGTGTACTGTCCCAGCAGGAGCAATATACATGAAAGGCTTCACACCAAATCCACCCATGGATACCCACTCAGAAGCCTGTCCTGGAGAGAAAAGCTTCCTCTCCCTTGTGTGAGTGATGAGGACTGAGAGGATAAAGTGGGCTCCTAGTTCCTGGGGCTCAAACCCATGTGCTCTGCATCTGAGAACATGTTACAGGCCCTTATTGAGTCTACATCACAGAGAACATTCTAGAAATGACAACATTGTCAAGGACTTAGACAATAATCTTCCCATGTGGATCTTGGTTTGGGGGGTATTGAGGGACAAATGGATCTGACTCAATGGTCCCAGATATCTGCTCTTTGTTTCTACCTTAGGAAAATACTACAGGCCAGACCTGAACTTCCCCCGCAGCCTGCCCAGGAGAAGCAATGGCATCAAAGACTTTGAAAACGATCCACCCTTATCATCCTGTGGAATTTTCCAGGCCAGACTTGCTGGTATGTTTAAGAGTTTAATTGAAGGCTTGCTTACAGTTTCAGACGGTTAGCCCATGAACATCGTGGCAGGGTGCACGCCAGCAGGCAGGCAGGTAGGCTTGGCACTGGAGCAGTAGCTGAGAGCTTATATCTGATCCACAGGCAGGAGGTTGAGGGAGCCTGGGCCTCACATGAGCTTTAGAAACTTCAAAGCATACTCCCAGCGTCACACCTCATCCAACAAAGCCACACCTCCTAATCCTTCTCAAACAGTTCTACTAACTGGGAACCAAATATTCAATTCTATGGGTGGGGGAGGTGTTTTCATTCAAATCCTCACAGAGATGTCAGTTGACTTACCCAGGGTCACACAGCTAGTGACCAAAAGTCTGATCTAGTAATGGATGGTTGGTGATGCAAGCAAGGAAATATGGGGGGGGGGGGGACTCAGTAGGGAGAGGAAAAATCAAAGAACACTGTGTGCACCAAGAGTGTCACTTACAAAATTAAAACCAAGCTGGGGAGATGGCTCAGATGGCCAAGTGTTTGCTGTGCAAGCACAAGCCTGATCCTCAGAATCTATCTGGGAAAACTGGGTGTGACAACCCCCACACTTCCTGGCTCTCGTGTCAGGTCCCTTCTGTGCCATGGAGTTTCCTTTGCCACCAGCTGGGCATCTGGTGTCACTCACTAAGGAAACAGTTGGATTACAGCTTGTCATTTTGCAAGTCATGACTGGCCTTGAAGTGACCAACTAAATGACCATGGAGGTATAGAGCAATATCCATGATAAGCCTTCAGTGCACATCTGACTTGAGAAGGTCATGGTGGGTTCTCAGTCCACAGTATCACTTTTCTCTAGAGCCCAGGCCTCCTTCCAGATTCACCCAGGCTATGAGAACTCAGGTCCTCAGGTTTGCAGGACTGGGGCCATCCTAGGCTGTTATTGGCCACTCTTTGCTTCTGAGGCCACATGCATGCCTTGTAACATGGGCCCCTCCATCTTTCAACACAGCCAAGGGATATGGGGCACATGTCAAATATATCCCCCTTTGGTTTTCTCTCATTCATGCTCCCAGCTGGGAGGAACCTCCACTACCTACAGGCTCACTGACCCCAGGCCATCCCCCTCCACAGTACAATACAGTGTAGTCACAAGAGGAATTGCTGGTCACAGTTGCAGTTTCTATCCTAACCTGGTAGGGGATCCCACAGGTGCGTACAGCAATAGCTAAGAGCCTCAAACATCCCTGCCCACCAAGGCAAGCCCTCATCCTGGGCTGATGCATGAAAGGTGTTTCCTACCTGTCATTTTCCAGGAGAGGCTCTGCTGGACAGTGGCATCAGAATCACCGCCGTCTTTGTGTCTCCAGCCCTGCGATGTGTGCAGACAGCCAAACACATCCTGGAAGGTGGGTGAGAAGCTCATCAGGCCTTACCTTTTTGCTTGATCTTGAGGCTACTCTCCGTGGGAAGCAAAGAGGGGATGGTGGTGAATGAGATAATGGGCCACATCTAAGCCAAAAGGCAGTTAGAAACTGACTTTTAGAAGTTGCTGGAAGAAATGAGCCACTAACATCCCATAAATACTAGGGTTGTAAGGCCCATGGGAGCTAATGTTACAGGGTCAACATCCCTCGTCATACTTTGCCCCTACGGTTCCTTTCCACCAGGTGTCTCGGCACTCAGAAAGGAACATTCACAAGTCTAGAGAGCTGAGGCTGTGAACCCTTCTAGATCCAACAGGCATGACATCCCAGAGCAGGGTGGGTGCTTGAAGGAAGCTGTCCAGCATCACCTGGCTGTCGGAAAGCCATTAGCAGATCCCTCAGCCTTGTAAGATGATATAGCCACGTGGGCAGCTGGTGGTCACACGGGTTCTGCCCACACTTAGAGGGTCATGGAAGCATACTCAGCTGGGGATGGGAACCCTCTTTGTTCACTGTGGGACAGCATTCCTATCCAAGGTCAGCAGTTAGGAGGCAGGAGCCCTGCCCCAGTCTCAACCCCCCTTGATTACTTTATCTCATTAACAGCCTTACTTGACAGGTTTTTTTGGTCAAGATAGAAAATGCTTGGGAGGGTGAGCTGTGAGGAATCAGAATGTTCCAGATGTTTCTCTCCAACTCTTTACCTCTTATCCCATCAGGACTCCCCGTCACTATCGCCATATCAGTCTATCAAGGGTGAGGTTGTAACATGAGTTGAGTTGTATTTAGGGTTAGACTGAGACCCCAGATCAAGTCTGCTGCCTGTGGTGGTCCCTCCTGGTGGGCAGTCAGTCTTTAGATTTCAACATTTGCCTAGTGGTTTGGGGCTCAGAGATGCAGTGCTGTGGTTAAATCCCAGGATAACATTTACCGGGAAAGAGTCACATTTGTGAAGGGTTTCCCTGAACTCATGTATAGGTTGGTGTTCTAGTTTGCTTTTCCATTACTGTGATAAAGCACCAACCAAAATCAATTGGAGGAGAAAGAGGCATGTTTGACTTACACTTTCATGTTGATGTCCATCAGTCAGAGGGGATGTTGTAAGAACTCAAAGTGGAAACCTGGAGGCAGGAGCTGAGGTCATGGAGGAGTGATACTTACTCCTGACTTGCCCCCCCCAAGGCTTGCTCAGTCTGCTTTTTTATAGCACCCAGGGTCACCTGTCCAAGCATGGTACCACCCACAGTGCTTTTTAGCCCTCCCACATCAGTAATTGATTAAGGAAATTAGTATAGTGGTGCACACCTTTAATCTCAGCACTCAGGAGACAGAGGCAGAAAAATCTCTGTGAGTTCATGGACTCTACATAGCGAGTTGCAGGATGGCTAGCAGCTTGCCTACAGACCAATCTAAGGGAGGCATTTTCTCAGTTGAGGATCCCGCTTCCCAGATGTCGAGCTGACAAAAACACTAACTAGCATGGTGGATGTAGCTATCTATGAAGAAACTTCTTTAGCTAGCATTCACGCTTCCTTTCCACTGACCCCAGAACTCAAACTGGAGAAGAAACTGAAGATAAGAGTTGAGCCTGGAGTCTTCGAATGGATGAAGTGGGAAGCCAGCAAGGCCACTCCGACCTTCCTGACCTTGGAGGAGCTAAAAGAGGCAAACTTCAATGTTGACCCTGATTATAGGTAGGTGCCTTGCGATTCTCTGCTATCGAGGGTCCTCTGGTTCTTGTCTAAGAAAACCTGTCTACTGAGATAAGGTCCTGCAGTGGAGAGTGAGGTAGACTGAGCTGTGGATGGAGGCAATGGGAAATGGCTTGAGGGTTGTGGTCTTGTTCAGCCAAACCAACAAGACTGGTGAAGGCAGCTACAGCTACACACATCACCTAGAGGTGAAGGAGGCTGGGGAACCTGACCACATATGGGAGATGGGATGTCCCTAAAGCTGGCCCTGCAAGGATGGATGTAGTTGGACCTCATCCAGAAGAGGGTCCTTGTGAAGGGGTGTGCCTTTGTCCTTCCCTTGGTGACAACTGAGGTTATACAGCTTTCCTGTTGCTCAGTCAGCATCCGTGCTGGGGATACCACAGCCCTCTACTGATGTGGAGCACATCCAGAATCCCCTACTAGCCATGGACCCATGAGCCTTGCCTGGCAGGCCATCTGGAGGATCATGGTTCCTCTCAGCTGCTCCAGGACACACACTCTTGGTCACCAGAGAGGCTGTAGGACAGCAGCCATGTCTCTCTCCATCCTCCTTCCAGACCTGCGTTCCCCCGCTGTTCCCTCATGCCAGCCGAGAGCTATGACCAGTACGTGGAAAGGTGCGCCGTGAGCATGGGGCAGATCATCACCACATCCCCACAGGACAGTGAGTGTCCCACAGATTTGAGGAGGACAGCCTCAGGCTTCTCTGGGTTGGGATTGGCTGATTCTGAGCTGTTAATGGACCCACCTCCCCACCCCCACGCTCTGGCCAAGACAGTATCTCATCTCCACAAGACAGGGAGTGGATGCATCACACACACGCCATGTATCCCAGGCCCGTGCACTCTGGTGCTGATCACTGATGAGCCCTGAAGACATCAGGGTCTTCACAAACTGTTCGTGTCAAAAAAGACTAGAGTTAATTTGAACCAAGAGAAGCTCAGAATGACAGAAAGATGGGGCAGATGGGGCAACCAATGTCTAAGGAAAGTGAGGCTGACCCATAACCACAACCATGCTCCCCGCTCTCCCTGCTCTCCGGGCTGCTCTCCAGGCTGCTCTCCCAGCCATCCCAGCCCTCCCAGGCCTCCCAGCTTCCCCTTGCCCAGCACAAAGTTCACTCAGAAGTGCTGACCCCCACACCCCTCTGCAGCTGTCTGGAGCCCATCACCTCTCCTGGGGAGGCTCCCTGAGCCCACGGACACTGCAAACCCTTATCTAAAGCAGATACCATCTCAGGCTCACAGTGATAAGCCAGCTAAAGTGATTGGATGGGGTCTGGGTGGCAGCCATCACACACCCCACCTGTGGTTGACAGGACCTAGGCAGCCAACCACAAGAGGGTAATGGCTCAGATCACCCTTATGCCATCCTTGAAGTTGGCACACAGATGCCACAGCCTATCCCCTGGCCCCAGGAGGGAAGTGGTGCATTCCGAATCGTGAACAAATGTCTGGATCTTCCCACCCCACCGCCTCCCAGGGGCATGGCAGCTGCAAGACTTTGAGGAGACCCTCTATCTTGCAAGGTACTCTGTGTGCCTGCTCTGACCTTGGGATATTTTGTCTCCAGTGGGCATCACCCTCATCGTGAGTCATAGCTCAGCGCTCGACTCCTGTACTAGGCCACTCCTCAGGCTCCCACCCAGGGAATGTGGTGATTTTGCCCAACTGGTAAGAAAGGTATGTATCCCTCTTATTCCTTTTTTACATCAGAGGAAAGCAGATGCAGAGTCATCCCCAGGTGGAAGTAACTTGTTAGAGGTTGGCATTGGTCCCATGTCGCCCTGGCAGCCTGGGACCATCTGGTTCCCTCCATGATGTAGAAGCGTTGTCAGTGGGCTTAAGAAGTACTCCAATGTTGATTGACATGTGACAGAGCATTGTAAACACTCTAAACCCTCTTCCAGATCCCATCTCTGGGAATGTGCTTCTGTGAAGAAAACAAAGAGGAGGGGAAGTGGGAGCTGGTGAACCCGCCAGTGAAGACGCTCACACATGGGGCCAACTCTGCCTTTAACTGGAAGAACTGGATCTCCAGCAACTGAGCCAAGCCCAGCTCCTCAGCAAGAGGTGCCTGCCCCATGCCAAGGCAGGAGGGGCTGTGAATATGATTACAAAGGCATCCTAGCCCCTCACTGCCATGACTTGGAGAAGCATAAAAATACACTTAATATTCAGGGTATTGCCACGGCACATACCTTTGTCGCTGTGGGTCTTGCTGCCCTGCCAGCCTGACTGTGGAAGCCAGAGCAGAGGTTTGGATTAGGACACCACATTGTAACAGAGGGACAGCCCCACTTCCAGGACCCACACTGGAAGATGACCCCCTCCTGTTCTGTGTGTTCTTAGGAGCCCTCTTTCCTTGTGTAACAATTGCTCTTTAGCAAGGGCCACACCAGCTGAAAGAGGAACAGTAGGCAATAAAAGAGACAGCTTCATCGGAGCAAAACCAGGACAGTTGCTGGCACCGGCACATGTGTGTATTGGCTCTGTGCTGCTGTAGGGACACATTGCTGCAAACACAGTGGTGATCGAGGCAGCGCAAAATTTCTAATGCACACGTACCAGTGTGTGGTTCTGCAGGTCAGTGTGGGCTGTGTTCCTCCACAGAGTCTAAAGGACCTCTCCCCAGCCATTTCCAGAATCAAGAGGCAGTTATACTTTCTGCCATCATATTTATACTGTCCTATTGTAAATCAGTCAATTTGGGGAAGTTCTAAGGCATGGTCACACACACACTCCCTCCCCTGAGCCTCCTGCCTCCTCTTCTCAAAGACCCTATGACAACTTGTTCTCGGTGACCTAGAATCTTCTCAAGATCCTGACAACCATGCCTGCAATGTCCCTTAGCCACAGAGGTCACAAGTTCATGGTCCCAGAAATAGGATGTGGATGTCTTTGAAGCCATTCTCCATCCCGCCTCAGCCTCTGTCCTTCCAAGCACATCATGGCTATTGTACAAGGGTCTAGACATAAAGATCTGAGTCCCATATGCACACTCTGTGCTGGTCATTTTTGGCTTCTCCTTTCTTCAAATCAAGCATGGGATTTTATGAACAGACTGAGTGAGCCCCTTGCCTTTACCAGCAGAGGTGGGGAGCCTATTTCCTTGGTGGTTCTGGCTTGGGAAATCTTGGCCCAACGGTAAGTGAGATTCTGTATAGTGTCCTTCCACCTCATGTTACAGAGGCCACCCTGTCCCCAGTCACCGTCCCCATGCACAAGTGTCCTACATACAGTGCAGTCATCCCCCCCATGGCAATTTCTTTTAAATGGGTCTTTCTTTTTCACCAGCCCTGTTGCAAGATTATTGTTACTTTTCACTGTTGCCTCTGAGCTGTGGCTGAAGACAGGAAGGATCTGGAAGGGGGGCAGGGAAGAAAGGGAGAAAGGGAGGGAAACTTCCTGGTGTTCTTTACCTTGCTCTCCTGACCCTTGATGTTTCTGAGCTCGTCTGACCCCTGCTGGCAAGATCTGCGAAGGACACCTTCCCCTGGGCACTGTCCTGGCCCACCTTCCAATCCGCATGCTTTGACTTTTTCATTTCAGAGCCAATTTGAGATTTTTAAATAGGATTCTACTAGCATGTATCATGGGTATAGCTGCGTTCTTTCCTCCCAAGTTCCTCCCAGTAGACCGTTCTGTATGGTTCAGAGGTTCAAACAAAGAAAATGACCATCAGTGGGCAGCTCAAAAGCTCCAGGTACTCCCTTGCACCTCCCCCACCCCCAGTTCCTGGGAAAAGCTGGGGAGCAACTTGGGGGATGGACCCCTGAAGAGCTGTGCAGTCCCACTGCTGCAGGCTGAATGGTCCATCAACGTCACAGAAGTCCTGATCCTACTTCAGTGTGAGACTGCTTCTGGAGACAGGACCTTCAGAAGGGAGGGGGGGAGGCTATGTGTAAGCACTCATGTGTGCACAGGCTACAGGGAATATGCGTATGTTAGAGGCAACTTTGTGGGACTGGCCCTCTTCACCCACCTTTATATAGTGCCTTGGTTACTTACATTTCATTGCGGTTGATAAAATGCTATGACCAAGGCAATTTAGGAAGCTGGAGTGGGCTTACAGTCTCAGAGAGTTAATGGCAGAGCAAAGGCATTTCGGCAGGGACAGCTGAGACCTCACGTCTTGTTCCATCCACAACCACACTGGGAATGGCGTGAGGCTTTTGGAAGCCCACCCCGCAGTGACACACCTCCTCCAACCTTCTAGTCCTTCCCAAACAGTTCCACCAATATGGACCAAGCCTATGGAGGCCATTCTCATTCAACCCAGTACACTTGGCTCTGGGGGCTGAAGTCAGGTGGCCAACCCTGAGCAGCAAGCATTTTTACCCCATGAGCCATTTGCTGACCTGGAGACAGAATCTTGAAAGAGGCACCTGAGGTGAGGTCATCAGGATGGGTCCAACCTGATCTGACTGTATAAGAAAAGGAAGTCAAGATACAAACACAGACACGCCGTGGGTGTTGAGTAAGAATGGCCCCCACAGGCTCCTATGTTTGAATATTTGGTCATCGGAGAGTCTTTGTGCCACTACTCATCAGGGAGCACCACTACTCATCAGGGAGCACCACTACTCATCAGGGAGCACCACTACTCATCAGGGAGCACCACTACTCATCAGGGAGCACCACTACTCATCAGGGAGCACCACTACTCATCAGGGAGCACCACTACTCATCAGGGAGTACCACTACTTGAGAAGGATTGGGAGGAGTGGCCTTGTTGGAGTGTGTGTGATGCTGGGGTGGGCTTTAGGGTTTCATAAGCCCAAGCCAGGCCCAGTGGCTTTCTCTCTTCCCAATGCCTTCAGATCCAGATCCAGAACTCTCAGCTACTCTGTCAGCCTGGGTATTGCCTTGTTCCCACCATGAGGATAATGGACTAAACCTCCAAAACTATAAGGAAGCCCCAACAAATATTGAGGAGTGATAACAGAGAGCACAGACCAGACACTGGAGTCAGGGAAACCTGTCTAGTTACTGACTAGAGAGAGCAAAGGCTATTCTGAGAACAGGAAGTGGTTATATCTGAACACATGGTCTCCTACTGTCACTAAGAATAGGCATGTCAACATCAGAAAGCTCTGAGCCTTGCTCAGAGACCCAGAGCCTGGCCCTCTCCTACACTTGTTGATCCTCTGAACTCTACTTTCTTGTCTGTGAAATGGGTGAACATCAGAAGCTTCTCAGTAGGTTGTTGTGGAAACAGCTGGGAGGGGGGGTTGAACTGTCTAGCTACAGTAACAGCTCCATTGCTGCTCATGTAGCAGCTGGATTACCCAGAACATTCCAGAGTGCCTCTCTGCCCCATGCACAGGTGCATCAAGTCTAGTGTGACCAAACGCCAGGATGCAGTATGAATTCTGTGGAAGGAAATGGCTGTACCACCTGGGATTTGAGAAAATTGACTAAAATAGATTTTTCTATGTAAGGAGTACAGGTTTTTCCGTCCCGCCGCAGCGCCAGCCCCAATTAACACACAGAGACTCTATATTTGATATAATTCTGTTGGCCAGGTACTTGTTTCTTATCGGCTAGCTCTGTCTTAAGTATTAACCCATTTCTGTTAATCTAATATGTCCACGTGGTCTTCTTACCGGGGAAAGGGGCCAGCGTCTCGTCTCCCCAGTCTCTCCATCTTCCTTTCCTATTGGCCAACAGTGCTTTATTCATTACCCAGTATGAGAAACATATACAGAATGACATCTCCCATCATTTCTACATTCTGGGATGCAAGAAAATCATATACCAAAATAATAATAACAAAAACAACAACAATTTTGTTGAAGCCAGAAGTTCAGGCAGGGTAAGGAAAGGGAAGGAAAAGAAATTCAGCAATGGCTCCTTCAAAGAGACAAGATACCAAAGATGGCTTTTCCAGGCCCTGGTGTCACTCTTCTCCTTTGGTTTCCTGCTTTTAACTCCCCATGAACGGGGAGCAGCAGGCCATACCTCAGTCATACTGCTGCAGTGGCTGGGAGCAGGGATAGCCTGCACCAAACGTCCTGGATGGTGAAAAGCTGGCTGCCTGGGAGAAAGAAACAGTCCTAATATCCATAGAAAGGGACTACAAGAGCGGGTGGGGTGATGAGGCTGTGTGCCACAAGAGTGGAAAATGGGGCTACTGGGAGTAGAAGGGGACAGGGAGGTGGTGAGGGGGGGGAGAAAGGGAGAAGGGGGGAATACACACAGGCTATGCTTGAAAATGCTGAACCAAGGCCCACATTTGCATAATAATTAAAAATATATAATTTACAGAGATGGAGAGATAACTCAGTCAGGAGAGCACAAGCCGCATGAGGACCTGAGTTCCACCCAGAACCCTTGCCCATGAGAGAAGAGGGTCTCAGGCACTTGCTGGCCACATTAGTAAATCGGTGAGTTCCAGGTTCAAAATATATGGTAGGTGGCATTTAAGTAAGACGCCTCTGGAGTCCACACATGCCTACACACACACACACTCTCTCTCTCTCTTACAAAATAATTTAAATAACAATATGTAAATAGCATTACTGACTATTAGAGGGGAAAGAAATAGGACCCAGTATCAAAAGAGGGTGAATGCCAAGAAATTTAATCACCATGCTGTTCTCTATTAAGTGTGTGGTAGCGAGCTGTTTTAAAACACGATGTATATACCTTAATTTAAAGTATTGCTGAAAAAGAAACAATAACAACCATCTGAGCTGTTGGGGAAATGGTGTCAGTAGATTTCAATGGATTTGTGAATTGTGAAATTGCCACAAACCCTGAGGGAGGGGAACCGTAAAGCAAACCCACTGCAATGCTCTGTGGGCAGCAATAAAGCAAATAAGATGAGGCATGCTCCCTGTGGCTGTTACTTTTCTGTTGCTGTGAGAAATCACTCTTAACCCTTGTGTTTTGAATTCCGAAATATTTATCCATATCTCATTTTGTTTGCATTTCTCCACCCCAGTTCAAACACTTAACATTTTTGGATCCTCACATTTCATGCCAATGCCCCTCCAACTCTTTGGTGATCTAGTATGGAAATCCTTTCTCTGACTTACACTTGCTCAGCTTTCTTTAAAGCCCAGGAGCATCTGCCTGGGATGGTACCAGCCACAGTGGGCGGGGCCCTCATACATCAATTAGCAATCAAGACAACCCCCACCCAGACAGGCCCTAAGACCAACCCAATAAACTCAGTTACTCAGCCCAGACCCCTTTTTCAGTGATTCTGTGCTGTGTTGAGATGACAGTTAATGCTCTAAGTAAGGGATCCAAGGCAATCTTCAAGAAATGTGCAACCAGCAATAGAAGACACTAAATCCTGTAACCACCTGTAGGAAAATCTGCAGTTATGTTTCATGGGTTTTAATAGCTTTCGGAAGTCAATAAAAACAGAAAGAAAATCAATAAATACATAAAAGACCCGACAGCACTACCAATCAACTTGGCCTAATCAATACTTACGGAGAACCACACCACACAGCAGTGTAATTCACTTTTCGAGCACCACACAGCCTATTCGCCAAAATGACTGCATTCTAGACTATAAAGCAAATCGTAATAAATGTAAAGGCATTTGAACCATGGGATATACATTTTCTACCCACGAAAGAACTAGATTAGAAATGATGATAGAAAGCTTAAAAACAAGCTAACAACACACCTCTAATTCCTGGGTCAGAGGTCAAGTCAAAGAGGCAAATGAGGTAGGTAAAATACATCAGGCATTAGAGGCGCTTGCCATCAGGCCTAATGGCTGAATTCGATCCTCAGAACCCACCTGGTGGAAGCAGAGACCCACCTCCCGTGGCATGAACACATATTTGCACTCACACACTGTAAATAAATCTTTTTGTTTAATCAGAGGAAATTTTTGAACTGATCAAGTATAGGAATACAACCTGTGGGATGTCGTGGCAACAGGGTAAAAGAGAAATTAATACCACACTGAAAGTCATTATTGGAAAAGAAACCTGAACTATTTGGCCTTACCACCCTAACTAGAAATAACAAGTTAAACATAGTAATTTGATATGAGTAAAAGAAAGGGATTCTCAAAGACTGGGGTCCAAATAGAAAACAGAAAAGAGTTAAAACTAAACAAAAGCTAGTGCTTCAGAAAGATCAAGACATCTAGAACCCAGCCAGGCTAAAAAATCAGAGCTAAAGAGGGATGACCCAAATCATCAGAAACAGTGAGGGGCATCACCACTGAGGTCACAGGTGTGAAAATATAACACCAAACAGAAACAAGCCACTTGAGTGAGGCAGGCAGTCCCCTAAGGACACAGCTAACCACATTCACAGAGGGAGATGCCTGGAGGGCAGGTGTGGACCATGTACCTGCCAATCAGAGCCTAGCAGAGGCGAAAGGGCAGTATTTGATGGGAAGGATGGTGGTAACTGCCCCAAGTCTCCCTGTGGGTCCAGCAGAGAGCACCTTTTAGTGTGGTCCATGCCTCCCACTTGGAGAAGCACAGAAAGGTTCATTCCATGGTCCCATGACCAACAGCAATGATGGAGCCCCTCAGGTGTGTCCATGACTGTTGGGGGAATATTATCTTAAGGTGTGCGGCTTTTGCTTAGGTTGCATTTGTTTAACTCTGTGAAGCTGTGTCACTGTGCCTGTCTAAAACACCTGATGGTGTTTTAGCTCCTGAGCTAATAAAAAGCTGAATGGCCAATAGGGACACAGGAGAGAGAATAGGCAGGACTGGCAGGCAGAGACAATAAACATGAGGAGAAATCTGGGAGAAAATGATCTGGGAATGAGAGGAAGGAGGAGGACTTCAGGGGCCGTTACCCAGCCACCCAGTCAGGTGGGAACCTGAATCTGTACTCCGGGACCTTCTCAGCCTTTGGACTAGACCGTGTATACTATGGAAAGTGACCTCCCACCCCGTGTGGCCTATGACCCGCTGGGAACATGAACAAATGCACACTCACATTTCCCCAGCCTTCCTGACTCAGACACTCAGAGGTGCCCAGCCATCTGTGTTTCCAGTCAGGGTGAATTCCAGGCACATGCGGAGAGCCTCCACGAGGGCCAGGCATCCTATCAGCATGCCACAGTGTCAGGATCCCTCACATTGGGAAGGTCACAGCCCAGCCATCACAGCAGCAGCATGTTAGTCAGAGACTGCAGTATGGAGGCAGGGTGGGGTGATTCTAGAGGGCTGAGGACCTGAGAAACTAGGGGGCAGGCTACTCTGACATAGCATCCTCCCCTGGGATTTAAGACTTACTGTGTGACTGTAATACTGAGAGAAGAGCATGCTCACCGTTCATTTTAGTGACTGAAGCCTGAGCAAGGACAAGTCAGCCCTAGTGAACCCAAAATGCTTCAAATTTCTGCTGCCCTGTCTCCAGGAAATGAGAGATGGGGAAATGGATGGATTGTTTGCAGCATATGCTGTCACTGGCTAGCGCCCTGTCTTCCAGAGTCTAGGGAACGATGAAAAGAAATGCACTAGGCGGTCCAGAGAGCTGGCTCAGCACAGCAAATGACTGCCTCCATCTCGTTGGGGTGAGATGAGGAACTTCTGAGCAACTGGAGGGAAGAGGTGAAACTTGTGGGGTGCAATTCCAGGCTTCTGCTTTAGCCCCCAGGAACAATGCTGCGGAGGAATGGAACAACAGCTCGAGGGAGGGAAGGGAGACAACAGGTGTGAGTCCATAAGGCACCTGATCATGATGAACCAGGCAGGAAATTGCACTTTGCTATTAAACCTGAAGGGGGCGCTCACTACCAATGCCTGTGAATGGTCTTGTTCAGCCTGTGGCAGGGACTATGCTGGGAAGGAGGGTGGAGGATGTAGGCAGATGGCCGCCTCACAGAGCACACTCCATACCCCTTCACCCTCTCCAAGGAGGATGCCCACGAGCAGCTGGAAACCGGTCCACAAAAGTTGAGGCGGAGGGCTCCTTCACAAACACTGAACACTGGAAGATTTATTTCCAACAACAAAACAACAACTGAGAAAGAAAGATTGACAGCCCGGTGGGTGCTAAGCGACCCAGCTGACTGGAGTTAACTAAGGCACAGCCGGCCTGTAGCTGTGTTCTTCGCCTCCTCCATCTTAGTCCTGGAGGAGGTCTGACTGTTCTTCATCAAAGTTTGCATTTCCTGGGAAGAAAAGAAAACACAAGAAAAACATAAAAGTTAATGATAAAAACTTTTAACGATTACAACTGTTTAAGCATTTAGCCCTGTTTCCTGTGGGCACTGGGGTCCCTGGGCCAAGGGCTCACTCAGGGACAATCATGCACTGAGCCCAGCCTCCCTGAACCTGATCCTAGGCACTCTTCATTTCTGTCCCCTGCTTCCTTTCTCCCTCATTTGTTTTGGGGATACTCATCTTCCAGTGGTCCCCCTAGGTCTTGAGCACCCAGCCTGAGGCTTATGTTTCCCAGGACCCCTCAGTCGCGCACAGAGATGAGGATCCAGTCCCAAGGCCACCATGAGAAGCCAAGTGAGGGTGCAGGAGAAAGCTATAACCCTTGCCCAAGCCCCCCCACCCAGGCTGTGCTTCTGTCTGGAATCTCCTCTCACTCCCATTCTGCCCTTTCTCTCTGCCTCTCAGCCTCTTCACTTATCTGGAGCTGACCCTTCCTGGATGAGTTATCACCTCTCGTGGAGACACCAAGTGTGCCAGCGACCCAGAGGTGTATGCGAATGTGCAGGTGTAATTTGTCTGCTGTTAGGAGCCCAAAGGAAGGATGCAGGACTGCCACAGCTCTGAGTGCACACAGGGCCCTGCAGGCATTGCACCTGCGGGGAATCACAGGCAGCACCAGCATCTGCTCAATGGATGCTGCCTCTTAGGTGTGTTATTACAATGCTCACATTAGTTATTGCTGGGAAAAGCCTAAGACTGTGTGTGTGTGTTCCCAGCAGTTACACAGAAAACTAGTTTTGCCTGGTTTTGTTGTTTCCCATATTTTGTAAAGAATGGGAAATATGCTCCTTCTTAATTTACAGCCAAAATCAAATCAAAAGGAGCCCTGTAGTGGTTTGAATGAAAATGACTCCATAGGCCCATAGGGAGTGGCACTATTAGGCATGGCCTCGTTTTAATGGGCGTGGCCTTGTTGTAATGGGCGTGGCCTTGTTGTAATGGGCGTGGCCTTGTTGGGGGAAGCATGAGTGTGGGGAGGGCGGCAAGGTTTCAGAAGCTCAAGCCAGGCCCAGTGGCTCATGCTCTCTTCCTGCTGCCTGCCCATTTGGGCATAGAACTCTCAGTTCCTACGCCATACCATGTCAGCCTGATCACCACCAAGCTTCCTACCATGATGACCATAGACAACCTCTGAGCTGTAAGCCAGCCCCAAGTGAATGCTGTGGTCATCAAGTCTCTTCACAGCAATAAAAACCCTAACTAAGACAGGTCCTTACCCCATTATGCTCCCTGTAACCAGGAGAGCTGGCAGCCTTGGGTACACAGGCTGTCCCTCACCCCTCTCCTGAGAACAAGACCAGATTTAGCTCAGGAGATGAGAACCCCACCTGATTCAATCAAAGGAGCCCCATGGGGAAAGATTTTGCAAAGATTCCAGGAACCCCACTACAGATGGGATCCCCACTCTGTAGACTGTGGAGGTATAAGTTTCCAGATTGTCTCTCTTGAAACCACTTTGACAGAACTATTCCCAACCACATCTAGCTTTCTCCCTCTGGGGAGAGCGTTAAGAACCCATCATACCAGGCCAGTTCCTGCCATGGTCAAGCTCAACTGGGAGACAAGCTGGACTTCGGGTGAACTTACGCTGGTCTCCCCAGGCTCATCCTTCGCCCTGGCCCTTCGCCCTGGCCTGAGGCCTGAGAAGCCTGCTCCTGGGGGGGGGGGACCCGCACAGGGGGGACCTGCTGGCCTCACACAGGCTCCGCCCACTCTGCAGGGCAAGCATTCTTACCCTGGTCCATCTCATAACTGTTCTCTCGGCTCTCCTCTCGGAATGTGTCCATGTCTTCCTCTCCAGTCCTCGTATCTATCTCGCCCTCAAAACCTTCTACCAGACCCTGGGTTTCATCTGAGGGGTCACCTGTACCTGGGATGAAGACAGTAATGGGTGACAGAATGAGGTCATCAGGGAACATGAGTGCAGACGTGTGTCAAGTGGGCCCTCTTGAGAATGGGGGCCTCCTTTCCCAGCCCTCAGGCTCCAACCCAGACCTGGCCATCAGATCACCCTGTCCCATCTCCCAACTTCCTGCATGGGACCACTGTACAACGGATCCAGAGAAATGCTGCCTCCATCCTTCTTCCAACAGGGACATGTGACTCTATCTGCTATTGGCTGCCCAACCCAAGTCACACCCACAGAGAAGCAATACCAAATGAACTCTGGCTGCTGGGGTTGCTGAGGCCTACATCATAGCTGCACATGTCCTGGATCCAGCTGATCGGCATTCTTTCCCTCTACTCCCTGGGAGACTCCCATCCCAAATGCTTGGCCTTATTGCATCCTGCACCCAAACTGACCCAGAGGCCATTTCCCAGAAAGACTAGCTACACCAGGTCTGAGGACAGGTGTGCATATCCCTAACAACCCCAGGGCACCTGCCCGGGGCACCTGCCCTGACAACCCAGGTGCTCTTTACCAGCAGCTCCAGGCGCTTCTTCTTGGCCTGGTCCCTCAGCAGGAGGCTGCTCCTCAGAGAGGGTTGGCGTCCACAGTGCCAATTCTGTGATCTTGAGAGCTTTCCATCTTGGAATGATACTTACTAATGCCTCTTCCTCTTCCTCCTCTTCTCCTCTTTCCTATTTTAAATACAAAAAAGAAAAAAGAAAAGAAAAAACAAAGTCATCAACATTACTATCATATGGTCTGGGATAGTAAATGACCACAGGGAAAAGATGGGCTCTGAACTGGGGCTTGAGCCTTTCAGTGACACCCTTCCTGACCAGAACAATTGTGACTACCAGTGGCATCATCTAAGAGCTGGAGACAGACAAGATACTGTGTGGGGCTCTCAGGCTTGGCATGTCCTTCAGCAGCTGAGGGTGACTGAAGAGACAAGGTTTTCAAACCTTGCTACTCTCCAGTCCCAAGCTCTTCCGTGTAAATCATAAAGCAACAATGACTTAAAGTCCTAAGAAGCCCAAGATTTCACATGATAGTGGGGAAATGCTCAAACACAGGGGCTCTCCTGACATGGATGCAGAGATCAGATTCAACAAAAGTGGACTGGGAGGTCAACATTCATACACATGTAATTTCTCCGGGGACTGGGCTAACATGTGTCAATTTTTTTTTTTTTTTTTTTTTGCAAGCATATGCCAACTCCTCAATTCTGCAGCTTTGTAAAAGTTCCAGAGATCAAAACATCAACCTAACGAGTCTGCAAAACCTCAAGGACATGGGTGGGAACAGCTGTAGATGGAAATTTACTAACTCTCCAGGCATAGTCAGACATTAACACACCAGGAGCACACACAAAGACACCTCACACAGACCTGTGCCTGGGTGCACACATCAAGAACCCACACAGACACCTCACACACATCTGTACAGGAGTGCCTAAAAACGATGATACTCATGCCAGCTAGAGAATGTCAATCTGGTATTAACATCTGTGCTAAATGTAGCAAAGGAACGTATTTGCTAACTAGGATTTAAGAGCGGGTCACCCATGGGACATGAACAGCCACCAACATTTGTGCTGACAGTTACTACATTCAGCTGCCATTCTGGGACTGTCACCTGTCGAAACTCAAGGTTAGCTCTAACTCCTGCAGGCACTGAGAAATGACATGTATGGCTTAAGCAGCTGAGCTGCTCAGGAGCACGCTCAAAGCCAGTCAGTCACCTTTTACCTAATGGGATCAATGTGACCGGGCAGATATTTAGCCCTTGGAAACAGGGGCGACGCATATTCTTCAATTTACCATATCTGTTAGGCGATATTCACCATGCTGTTCACATCCAATGTCAAACACGTACTTTCCAGGACCGACGGGCTATGGGGAGAAAGGAACTCAATGCACTCCATTCTTCATGGTCCACGTAGGACAGAAAGTACAAAAGACTTCCTAAGTGCCATGCCCGGAGAGCCCACCCAAATGACCTCACCATGCAAAGTCTGAGAGCGGTTACAGAGTGCTTTTGCCAACTGAAGGCTAATGGAACTGTTAAAGGGTTCATTTTTTAAGGTCTCAGAGCCATGTTCTACTGCATTTAAAAGGTAATCAGAAATATATCCGATGACTAGAAAGAGGCCAGCTCCCAATGCTTTGATCTGTTTGTTATAACACTGGATTTAGTACAAAGTATTTTAAAATCATTTATTTACTCATGTGTGTAGCAGTTGGAGGACAACTTTCAGGAGTCGGTTCTCTCGTGCCACTGTATGGGACCCAGGTATCAAATTGAAGTTGTTAGGCTTGGCAGCTGGTACCTTTACCCACTGATCCATCTCACTGGGTTTTTTGTTTGTGTGTGTGTGTGTGTGTGTGTGTGTGTGTGTGTTTTAAAACAAAAACCAAGTCACAATGGCACCCACTGTCACCGCTTTGACTTAGAAACCCAGTGCGAACCACTCCCCATATTTACACGTCACCAGTTATCAACCTGACATTTGATTTCACCTTGGATCATGAATTATAATGTGCCTTACTTGTTTACTGATGTTCACCGTTGCCATGCCAACACTGTTTTTTGCCCAAGCGTTAGCATGAGCATGCTGTTTTGACACTATGTCTTACTCCATAGCTCAGGGTGGTTCAAAGTCTCTCAGCTGGGCTGTCAGTTACTTTCCTTCTTATGAAATGAAAACTATTCTTCCCTGTGAGTCTGTTTAAGGACCTCTATCCTCATTTCTGCATTCCTAGATAGTCACCTATTTTGATTAGTTTCGTTCATGGTGACATTTAAATATTCCTTCTGGAAAATACCTTTCTCTCTTTGCTCAAGGACAAACTAATTTTACTGTTCCCTGTCCCTTTTATAAAGTGGTAAAGCAAGTAGGACTTTTAAAAACACAACCGTTAGCAGTTCCCTCAGCCATTAGTTGACAGTAGCATCTGTCGCCTTCTCAGACTTTGCTGCCCAGTGATGTGATTTGGGTGAGCTTATCTAGTTATCTAGTTTCTTGGCCCATTTTTGCCACTCATTTCTTCATTAACTGCCAGCAATGTCCTGGCCGAGTGTTCAATGACTTGTTCTCCTTCTAGTCTGCCTCCTGTTTCCATCCCTCCTCGCCCTGTTTTTAATGACTTGTCAGCAAGGACAGGGATGGGGGCACTTCTGAGAAAGAAACACAAACAAGTGCTTAGAGGGCAAAAGATGCCTGGCCCAGCTCATAACCAGGGAAATACACAATTTAGGAGAAAAAAAAAAATGTTTATACATCAGATTCCGGGGAGGGGGAAAAAAAGCAAAGGATGTAGCAGATACATCCAAAGTCGTGAGAATCCTACATGGGGACTCAGGTTCTGTTGGTGAGGGAGTGAATTTGTGCATTAGTTTCAGAATAGCAACCCTTTATAGTCAGCAATCCTGGTATCAAGCTGTGATGGCTCATCCTGATTGTCAACTTGACATGCCTGTGAAGAAAGAACCTCCAGTAAAGAAGTGCCCTGTCAGATTGGCCTGTGGTGTATTTTCTTAATTGTTAATTGATGTAGGAGGGCCCAGTTCACTGTGGACAGCACCATCCACAGGCAGGTGAGCCAGAGCTGTATAAGAAAGATAACAAACATGACCCGAGAAGAAGGCAGTAAGCAGTGTTCCTCTGTGGTCTCCTTTTCGAGCTCCTCCACTGCTGGAGCTCCCCACGTCCCCCTTCAATTCCTGCCCTGATTTCCCTCAACAATGAGCTGTGACCTGTGAGATGAAACAAACCTTCCCTTCCTAAATTGTATTTGGTCATGGTGTTCATCACAACAGAAAGGTAACTAGGACTCTAGTCTATATAAAGGCATTTATCAAAAGACAAAATGACCAATAACTTAAGTCTGCTGGCTTTCATTCCAGGGTCAGACATGACCTCTGTCTATAGGATGGAACATGTTTTCAGGTAAGGTGAGTGGGGTGGGGGTGGAGTCCTAACAGGCAAGCTAACAAAAGCAGAAACAGGGAACCTGAATGTAGCTTAGGCCATTTTGAAGTTCCTTTCCCTTTAAGGGTCAGAGCAGAGGGGAAGCCCTCCCACCCTGCATTACAAAACCTACTAGGGATCTGGTCAGATGGCTTGCTGGTATTATAGAACAGAATGGCAGCATAGAGGTGTGACCTGCTGAGCCAAGGCAGGACCTCTGTCTAAACTGCAGGGGGAGGAGGGAATAGGGATAACACACCTCTGCATTTTATCCCACATGCCCAGATGTGCAAGATGATAGCCTTTGTGTCCTGGTACCTCACCAACTCTCAAAACTGATTCTGCATAAGTGATTGTGTGTGTGTGTGTGTGTGTGTGTGTGTGTGTGTGTGTGTTCATGCACACATGATATACAGAGGTCCTGAGGGAGGAGCAGGGAGGGGCAACTGGGGGGGAGAGAGATGCTAGCACTAAACACTTCACAATTTGGGTGTTCTTTCGCGGTTTGTATAACTATAAGCCTTTTAATGACAGAGCAAAGCCTCCAGGTTTGCTCTCCCTTTTCAGTCTAGTCTAGTCTAGAGTATTGATTTCCCCAACCGTTGAGGCTCAAGTTAATGTAAATGAAATGGGGCATTCAGAGAGTCTGAAGAGAGGTGATAGATGTATCTGACCATACACCATCTCAGTTTCCATGTCAGTGTGCTCAGCAAACTCTCTCTGGGGAGTCTCCCTCGAGCCCTGAGCAATGCCGGCTCACATGAATGCCTGGGTAGAAAGCTGCAACTATTGAGTTTCCCCTCAGCTTCCCTACTTTGCACAGAACAGTCACCAAGCCAGGGCCTACTGAACAGCATCTGGTGAGGGTGTGGGGATCTCCAGACTCAGGGCAAGCACTCTGAGCCCTTCAAGCCCTCCCAGCTAGGAGTGGCAGGCTGGCCTCTGGCATGAGGGTAGTTCTAGGACACCCCTCCCATTTGACATGGTTAACCACAGGGCAAGAGCACACAGCCAACAGAAGATGCCCTGGTACCAAGGGCACTGACTTAATAGAGATACAAATGCTACTGGAGCCCAGGGAAACAAGCCCAGCTTTCTGCCTCTACCCCACCCCATCCCACTCCACCCCACCCTACCCCACCCCACTCTGTGTTCGGTGGGCACCAGAAGAGCTTGGAGTAGCACAGCTCATCTGGTGGGAACGGAGGGACCCCTCTGAATGTTTAGTGTTAGCACATGGCACACTGACTTACATTTTTGTTTATGAACTTGCCCTGGTACCTGTGGTTCAGGTGGATGAGCTCGGCAGCACCTTCCTGCTGCCCATTCACCCAGCTACCGACGTACTTACTGCCAGTCTCTGCATAGAAGTAGGTGCCCTGCCCGTGCCTGGTGAAAACAAGACAAGGGCACTTGGTCACTGTCCAATATGCAGCACTGACCCTAAGACTGAGGGGGGACATAAGTAGATGCCAGCTCATTGGCAACTTGTTTCCAGTATCTGTGTCCACTTGAAGGCTTGGCATGCCATCTACACATGGACACATGGGACATTAACACTAGCATGGAGCCAGCATCATCTAACATATAGGGGCCAGCCGCCTGTACATGAACAAATTTCCATGCAGGGTTGCTGGCTCTCTCTCCACTAGATTGACCCTCTGTGCCTTCACTCCCCGAGGCTGTGGATGGAGGGCCCATGTGTCTTGGCCCACTAGGAGGAGACAGTAGTCCCTCCTCTGCCCTCTCAGCAATACCTCCCCTACACACCTGCCCTGCAGCATGGAACTGTCTCAAGTGGCTATCATCCTGTTCTTATACCACACACACACACACACACACACTCACACACACACACACACACACACCCTGAGGCATCAGGTAGAAACCAAACCTTTGATGAGCGAACCACTCCCCTGTGTAGGTGTCATTATTGATGTAGTAGTACACGCCATGGCCATGCCTCTGGTCATCTGCCCACTCCCCTGCAAAGGAAAACACACACGCACAAAACCAGGTGAAAAGAATGGACTGATGCCATGGCCCCTGCAAGTGCAGCAGGATCCAAGCAATGTGTTTTGCAAAAGAGAGAACCTTACAACCTTATAGCCATAGAGCTAAGCCTACTGCCTCTCTCCTCTCTGACTTCCCTCCATATCCCCCTCTTGTGCCAGCTTCAGGGAGAGCTAGCTAAGGAGGGCCAAGTAGGGGGGAGGGATATGCTTGTGATGTGGATCCCAGTCACTTACATGCTTTTGCAAGTAGGTGGGCATATGGTCGGGGTTCAAACAAGCTTGTCTGACCCACTGTCAGTGATCCCAGACATACTCCATTAGCCTTTCAGGTGCTTGGCAACTCAGCAGCATCTCCAAGGTTTGATCATCTAGCCTCAGCACTCTGTCTCCGACCTGGGCACATGCTCTCTTGCCAGCTCCTTTATTCTCCCTCACAGGTTCCCTTTCCTGACCTGGGTGGCCTGCCCATTCCCCTCCATGGGGGCAGGGGGCCTGCTAATTTCTCATAAACTTGACAGAAAACCCCAACACTGGAAAAACAGCATGATGCCTGGAACACTTTGCCTTGACAACAAGGTCAGCAACAGTTATCAGCCAAAGGAGATTTGAAATCAGCCTCTCAAAAACTCCTCAACTCTTACAGCTCACACAGGAAAGAAACCAAGCAGTGTGTTTCCAAGGTGGACATTACCTAAAACCTCACATATGACCAAGAGCAAAATCAGCACGCAGATAGAACTTTCTAGAATACTAACTGGATGGAACTTCCTAGTATGGAAGTACAACTACGAATAATTAAAAACTAATTGAGATGAGTTTGTTTCAAGAGAATGGGGTAATTTCTGTTTTGTTATGGAAAGAATACTGGCTAGCACAAGCAGAAGATGCCTGCCTTGCACAGAGGAGGTCCTGGATTCCATCCCCAGTGCTAAAGAAAAGCCAAAGCAGTGGTAGAAGAAAGCTAACTCTAGAATTCTATCAGGATGTCCACCATTAATTAAAAACACACCCCAGGATGCCTGCCTGCTTAAATTCTATGTCGTTTATGGCATGTTACAAATGAAAGTTCACTTTTATAGCAATTTTATATCCTTTTCCTTAAAGAGGACCCTAGAATGTGTGTGAACTTCTGTTTTACACAAATGCTAGAAACACTTCCACATACACTGAAAGAACCCACACTATGCTAACAAAAGTGTTAATTATCCAAAATTGGGAATTCTATAGAATTTTCCTCACTTCTCCAATATTTACTTAATAAAACATTCTGGTCACCTTGTGAGCTATGACATTTGCACAAATGGACAGCACATGACCCCACAAGCCCAATGAAGACAGAGGCCAACAAGGATGTGACCAGCAGCCTGGGACAGAAGCAAGAACAGGACTTCAGGTAGCTCAGCACAGAGTAGCCTAAAGAGGACTGGGTCCCATGACATGATGTGACACAGGAACATGAGTAAGAGAGATGGAGTATCCAAAAATTAAGATAATTAACCAAAATATACAACTTGGTGTCAGCTCTGTAGTGATCGTGGGGCAGTGCACACCATGGATAAAGATCTGGGGGTTGTCCTGAACCTTCAGTGGCAGCATTGTATCCAAGTCTACAGCATCTGCCAGTTTCTACAGTGGAATATTCCCACTGAGGCCAATTTGGAACTGTTTATGGAGCTGCAAGAAATGCAAAATTGGCCTCTGTGAGCTGCTCGGAGCTGCTGCAACACCCCCTGGGGTAAAGCGGCCACAGCTGGAACAGTTGCTTCAGATGGTTTCCTTCCCCAAAAAGGACCATAACAAAAGGAGCCCATCTCTCTTCTCCCACCCTTGGGAGCTGGGCTCCAGGCTAGCATGACAAGAAAAACATGTATTTTTCAGAAATGTTTCAAAAGTGAAAGTGGAAACTTAAACTGCAAACACGCTAAATTTCATGTTGGTGAGGATCCATGAGCACATGCTACACCATTTGAGAAATTTGTGGGAGGCCTTACCCAGCCCAGAAAACTCTGTGCAATGGAGCAGGCTGCTTAGAGGAAGGTAGCCTACGCCTGCTGCATACTTCAATGGCCAGAAATCAAGGCTCCTGAATGGTATTTGGAAACATATTACTCCTGCTTTAAATTTACATTTAACTTTTTTTGAAATTTTCTAAACAATTCTTCCCTACTATCATCATTCTTGGTCTTCTCAACAGACCTGGAGTGTGTGTAGGGGAGTGGTGGGGGGAGTCTGCCAACTAAGCCCTTAAAACCCCTTGAACAGTGAGATTTGATGAGACTTGGAGTTGCAGAAGGCATGTATATGGCCATGCACACCATCTTCATAGGAACAAAGGCTCACACTGGATCATTCTAGAACTCACACTACATACCCATTCATCTGACTACTCATCAGTGTTATTTGTAGTTTCCTTTATAATAAACAATTAACAGTGTTTCTGTGAGTTCTACAAGCTATAAGAGAAGATCATTGGCCAGGATACACGGTTAGGGGACATCTAGTTAGCAATGACCCAGGCAGAAGTGTGAGCAGCCTGGAAACTTCTAGCATGACCTCTGCATCTGAGTCAGGGGGTGCAGGACAGCCTTGTAAGGATAAGCCTTCCCTGAGGCTATGGTAGCTGGTACCATGATTGACTGACTCACTGGGAAGCCCTTGTCTGCAGAGCCAGAGGACTGCTTGGTGTGGATACCCGCTCTTGAGCTCAGTTTTGTGTGTAGACTTTTCTCTCCAGCTGGCTCATCTCCACATTAAGAATTCCTGACCCCTCCCCCTTTGGTGGGGCAGCACTACCCTCACTTGGGTATGTCTTACTATAGAGCACCTCTGTATCTCCTAATCTTCATGCCTAAGTCTACATTAAAATAGCTTTCTTTTATTATTTATTATTTTTATTTGATGTGCACTAGTATTTCACCTGCATGTATGTATGTGTGAAGGTGTCATATCTCCTGTAACTGTAGTTACAGACTGACTGTTGTGAGCTGCCATATGGGTGCTGAGAATTGAACTCAGGTCCCCTGAAAGAACAGCTAGTGCCCTTAACTGCTAAGCCATCTCTCCAGCCCCAAAAATATCTTTAGTAAAATCCCAACTCTGCTTCAAAGACTTCCTAAGCCCCTCCCTCCCCTTTTGATGTACTTTATATGTAACCCAAATTGTATTAACATCTACACTAAGATCAAAAGTAACAAGATTAGGCTCCCAGGGATCTGGGAAGAATTAAATTAAGCACCAAATCAAATTGTTCAACGCTCATTAAAAAGCAGATGGTGCTTCTGGTCGACCAAGCCTGCTAAGGTTTAGAACAAAACAATTTGAGTTCCATGTTTAACACACAGGCACAAACGCCTCTGCCCCACCTCGGAGTCTGGGAGAAACCCCTTCCTTTGCTTCCTTTGTTGTTATTGTTTGTTTTATCTGGAAGCAGGGTGGGTAACTGCTGTGGTTTGGATAGGTGCCCCCCAAAAGCCATGTGTGGAGGCTTGGTCCCCAACTGCAGTAATGTTGGGAGGTATGTAATCTTGGAGAGATAGGACTTAGAGAAAGAAGTCAGGTCATGGGAGGGGCATGCCCATCCCCCCTCCCTCTGTTTCCTGGCCACCATGAGGTAAGTAGCTGGGTCTATGGAAGACTCCCATCATGATGTTTTGCCTTGCCACAGGATCACATGTCTATGAACTAAAACCAGGGCTGGAGAGACAGTTTAGTGGTTAAGAGCACGCGCTGCTCTTGCAGAGGACCCAGTTCAATTCTCAGCACCCACATAGTGGTTCACAACCATCTGTAACTCCGTAACTCCAGTACCAAAGGCTTAATGCCCTCTTCTAGCCTCTGTGGACAATGTATATCCATATTTCACTGGCATACATTCAGGTAAAACACACATTCATGTAAAGTAACCATGCATATAAAATAAAAAATAACCCAATCTTAAAATCTCTGAAAGTCAAAATAAGCCTTCCTTTCCTTGAAGATGATTTTTTGGGTGTTAGTCGTAGGAATACAGCTTGCATTTTAAGGAATATCACCATCATTAGAAGGTGATGCCATCACATAAAGTGCATCATGGCCCTTGCCAACTAGCTCTTCCCTGGAGGCAGGAATATCTATAGGCATTACACACATATCAAGCTATTCCATCTGCATGCTACAGATAAGAAAGCTGAGGAGAGGTGGCATGCAGTGTCACATCTACTGTCCCCACAGTCAAAGCTGAAGGCACAGATCTGTTTTGGAAATCAGATGGAAACTAGAAAACCCTTTCCAGAGACAAGAGGAACGAGAGTAGAGAAAAACCCAGACATACAAATCAGCATAGGCTTTCTGAAGGTCCATAGCCTATTTCCTGCCTTCTCCCATAGTCCTGGCTTTTGGATTAGACTTGTACCCACCAGGTGACAGTGGTACATAGGGACTGTAGGTTTTTAGAAATAAGTCTTCCTGAGACATGAGGCATGTGAAGAATTGGAGACTGGGAAAAAAGACATCATAGTAAGGCAAATGCCCAGATGAGGGGACTCTAAAGACACATCAGAGATGGGCAAAAGCAGAAAACAAAGACAGCTTCAGAGGGAAGATGCCATAGGCTGTCATGGGTCTAGGCCACACCCAGAGTCTGTGCTCACTCTACAATCCTCTTTCACTTACTCTAAGTCTCTAGCTTACAGAAAGGCATGTGCTGCCCCAGGACCAGTCATATAGGGGTTTTTTGTTTGTTTGTTTGTTTGCTTGCTTGCTTGTTTTGTTTTTCGAGACAGGGTTTCTCTGTGTAGGTGTGGAGCCTGTCCTGGAACTAGCTCTTGTAGACTAGCTAGCCTCAAACTCACAAATAATGGTCTGCCTCTGCACCCCCCCCCCAGTGCTGGGATTAAAAAAACGTGGGTCACCACTGCCTGTCTCCAGTCATACAGTTAAATGTTCAGTTAAAAGACTGTCTAGCCTCTATGACAACAGAGGGAGGAGCACGCGCTGCTGGTGGTGGTGGTGGTGACTGGTAGATCTAGTGAACTCTTTTTTCTTTTTCTTTCTTAATTTAGTGAACTTTAAGCTTTCTTATGCACTTTAGGGATGGGAGATGTCATTCTGTAAATATGTTTCTCATACTGGTTAATGAATAAAGCACTGTTGGCCAATAGGAAAGCAAGATGGGCGGGACTAGGAGACAAGGAAGATTCCAGGAAGTAGTAAAGAGGAGTCAAGATGGAGAGACCCTGGAGAGCACAATGCCAGCCCATTCCCTGGTAAGATGAAACCACATGGAAATACTTACATTAACAGAAATGGGTTAATACTTAAGACAGAGCTAGCAGATAAGAAACTAGTACAGAGTCTCAGTGTGTTAATTGGGGCTGGTGCTGCAGCGGGACAAGACCAGTGGCGGGAAGAAAACATACTCCTTACACTTTAGAATCCACAGACAAGCTCAATGACAGAAGCAGTCTATACAGCAAAAGCAAAACTCGTCTTCATGGTGATGGCATGTTACCTTCATATCTGGATCCATCCGGATAGATAAAGGTCCCTTGACCATGCTTTTTATTTTTAATATATTCTCCGATGTATCGGGCACCATTCTTAAATTTGTAGATCCCCTGAAACACACCGATGATACGGTTCATATACAGTCCTGAGTCTGATGTGCACTAAGACAATACTTAATAGAGAAAACCAGCTTCCTAAGTCGCCAATTCTGACCTGGCCATTTCTTTTTCCAAACTCATAGTGTCCTTCGTATGTGTCTCCATTTGGCAATCTCGCTTTCCCGTGTCCATGCCGTTCTCCCACTTCATTTCGCTCACCCTCATATTCCTGGGCAGAAGAAATCAAACTAATTGTGGCTGCTGTTCAGTAGCACCAAATACAAACCAAGCATTTTACAGGTAGTGTACCACTGAAGCCTCCCTAGCTTGAGCACTGTATTCACCTGTAATGTTGTACTGGTGAGAAGGGTAATCAAGCCTGATGGGCAGAGCCCTGGCCCAAGGTCTCAAGATTAGTGCAAGTGTGCACACAGCTTCACTCCCTCCCTCCAATATCTGAGCCTGTGGTTAATTATGCTAAACCTGGCATTGTAAGCATGAACCAATGAATGGAAAATGCTAGAGGCACTATGTCATCACAGGAAGAGTCTTAAAGAGTGCTTAAAGGTGGGACAGGTCCCCAGCCTCCACAGACAACTCCCTCTTTCTTCAGTCTTTCAGGACTTAAAGAGTAAATACCCTAAGAGAATGGCTCTTCCTTCATGGGGCTTCCTGGAGAGTCTGTGGTCTGCAGAGCTCTGTACCCTGATGGGAAGTTCTGCTCTGAGGGAGAGGGGAAGGAGACACAGATATTCCACTACTCTCATTTTCAAACTCCCCGTCAAAGGACTTACAGTTCAAACTTTTTTGACCCTGGGACTGGAGAGATGGCCCAGTGGTTAAGAGCGCTGGCTGTGCCAGGCAGTGGTTGGCAAACGCCTTTAATCGCACAAGGCACTCAAGTAGGAGCACATCATTGTTGTCTGTGAGTCTCTTGCCTCCCCTCTACAGTCTACCCTAGGAAAGTGACTCCAGTGGGGTAGAGCTGCTCAGAGAAACTAATCCAGACCTATGTGGTGAAATCTTCAGAGCCCGGGACACCTCGGCACTGTACAGGAGTTGCCAAGAAGCAGCCTTCTCCATCTCTTTTCTCATGCCCTCTGCCTAGAAATCTTCGCCTTTAATGGGAGGCGGGATGGGAGCGAGGAGGGGGTGGAAACAAGACGTCACGGCGTTTCACCTTTCAGAGCGACTTCCTGGACGCACCGCCGCCAGTGTGGCCGCTGTGGTCCTGTCCCCGGCCTCTCGACCTTCTGGTCCCCACGCCTCCCGCTCTGGAGCTGCAACGCACCCTCAGAAGTCCCTCCCTGGCCAGGAGCTCTCACCCCAAGATCGTTCTCTCCTTCCTCCTCTAACTCCTCGGAGCCCAAGTCCGACATGATCTGGTTTCAGCCAGGATCTCCTGAGTAGAGTCTCTGTCAAGCAGGTACCAGCCACCCCTACCCGCGTCCCGCGTCGCCATGGAGACGCTGCCCGGCCCGCTTGGCTCTCAGCCTAAAAGGGTGGCGGGAAAGGGCGGGACGAGAGGTGTGGGAGGAGCTAAGGGCTGGGGTAGTGTCCTAGCAACTGGAAGGGCATCTCTGCCAATCACCGTCCGGGAACAGGGAGAAGCGGGGGTGGGGTGGCAGGAACTTGGCGATTTAGTACTCGCGCAGATCTGGCATCTAATCGGGACAGTGTCATTGGCCTCTGGAATGTCCTCAGTGATCTGGTTTGTGGACGCCACGAGGAGCCTCCTAAAAAGAGGACCCCAGAAGGACGAGAGGCGAGTCTCAACTCTAGGCCCCGCCTCTTGGTCCCCTGGGGATGCTGCAGAACATACCAGGTTCTATTACACTGGGATGCTTGTGGTCTCCAGAGACGTGTACACTTGGGAGTCTTTTCTGGTTTCCATCAAAACGTCCATGCTGGAGCGATGAACTCTGCCTCTTGAGCAGATGCTCCGGCACAGTGACCTGGGTCAGGGTTTAAGCATCTCAAACCACCCCTACTCGAGTGACTCCTGGGCTCTCTCACTTGCAAATGCCCCATATTCATTCTGCTCTGTCCTCCCTCTGGTGCCTCTGGCTTCCTCTCAAATGCCCAAACCACCATGCCACACATATAGGCCCACTCATTCACATGGGCCCTCCTTTGCTTCTCCTCCTGGGGGAGGGGGTGTCTCTCCAGTGCCACATTCCACCCTGCAAGGTCCCTCTGGATCCCCTTCCCACTCCCCAACTCAGACCTTCCTACTCCCCAACTAAGCCAGACTTTCTGCTCTCATTTCTGACCTCCTAACATCCCCACAGCTGCCTCTGTTCAGAAACCCCAAATGTACACAGGTTCCCTGTATATGCCCCCAAGCTCCCCTCCCTGAACTAGCTACACAGCAAACAAAGCAAACTACCCAATCCTCCGGTTCCCCACTTCCGGCTTCTGCCTGGGTCAGCCCAGCTGACTCCCTGGAATACAGGCTTCCCCACACTGGGAAGCACACAAGCACACCTTTCTTCTAAGATTGGCTAAGGGACTGACTCCCCTGTCAGCTTAGGGATAAGGACATTCTGGAGACTGGGGAAAGGACCTCAACTCTTACCGCCCATCCATTGTAGTGGCAAGCATGGGATAAAATGTAAAACTTAACTTGAGGACAGTTCTTCATATTTACTTGACGACTAAAAATGCTAATATTCAGCTTGCTGACACACACACACACACACACTCACACCGGGTGTCAGTCTCCAGATGTGGTCTATGCACACCCACTGCAGTCACCCGCACTCACTGTAGTGTTTGTGACACTTCAGAACCCACTCCTCGTGCTTCAAGTCATTGTGGCTAACTCTGGTTGTCAATGTGACGTACTCAGGAAGAAGGAATCTCAATTGAGGAATTGTGCCTTGGACTGTGGCATATTTTCTCACTTGCTAATTGGTGGAGCAGGGTCCAGCCCGCCATGGGAGGCACCAGCTCTAGGTAAGTGGGCCTGGGCTGTGTGAGACCGTAGCTGAGCAAGCCTAGGGAGTGAGCCAGCAGGTGGTGCTCCTTCTTGGTCTCAGCTTTGGTTCCTGCTCAGGCTTTCCTTAATCAATGAACCATTATTGTCTGCAACCTGTAAGCCAAATAGGCCACCCCTGCCCCTGAGTTGCTTTGGGCCATGGTGTTGTTTTACTACAGCAATGGAAAATCAAAGTCTGTGTGGTGGGTTTTATGCCTGAACCTGTGTACCCTTTGATCAGCACCCTCTGAGTTTGACCTGTTACATCCCACAGTGTCAGGATTTAAATATCTCCTGCAGAATGCAGGTGTTGTTGACATGTGCTGGTGACTTTCCACCACGGTGACAAAATAGCTAAGGCCACAGCTTAGCTCATGGTTACAGATGTTTTGGTCCATGGGTAACTGACTCTGCCACTTTGAGCCCTTTATTAGTTTTACCTGTACACAGGGGTTTTTTGTCCCACCAGCCAGTTCCCAAATAACCACACAGAGACTTGATATTAATTATAAATGCTCAGCCAATAGCTTAGACTTGTTTTTTAGCTAGCTCTTATAACTTAAATCAACCCATTTGTCTCCATTAAGTGCTACCCCCAGGCTTGTTTGCTTCCCACCCTGCTCACTCTGCATCTCAAAGCATTTCCCCAGACTCCATCCTTCTTCCTAATATTCTCTCCCCAGAAATCCTGCCTAGCCATCAGCCAGTCAACTTTTTATTAACAATGAGAGCAACACATTTTCACAGTGTACAGAAGGGTTACCTCACAGCAATTGCCAGAGCCTTGGTCACGAGGTCTGCCTCTGGGTATGAACATTTGTTTAGATCAAGAGAAAAAACATAGAGTATCTACGGAAAAATGAATTAATTCATGTCTTTATCCTGAACTGTGGAGGAAGCCTCAATTTCCCTGCATCTGTCCAACAACAGTGTTACCATCTACAGAAAAGATAAGGAAATCTGAACATGGGGATTAGCCTTGGGTCTGTGTTACTAGAACTAAAAAAACGAGTCTTTATCTGTAAAGAGTCCCAACCCTGGCACCAGGACTCCAGAGCATGGCCTGTCCTTACCCAACATAGAAAGTGCTGGAGAAATTCAAACCCTCAAGGCCCTTCCCATTACAAATGTGGCAGCACAGGAGTTGCAGAAGAAACCAATCATGACACAGGAGCCCCCTTTTAGGCCACGCCCCAGTGATCTGACTTCCTCCAGTTAGGCCCATCTTTTTAAAGGTCCCACCACCCCCTACTAATACCCCAGGCTGGTGACCAAGCTTCAGCATATAAGCCCTTATCAAAGGCATCCAGACTGTTACACAGAAAGCTTCCTGAAGCACAAGGCACACCATGAGTCCTCTGCCCTTGCATCTTTCACCTCATGAACACTCAGCAACAAGACCGTCTGTCTGGGGAAGGCCTCCGGATCCCTGGTGAGATGGAAACAGGGTAGGAGTTGAGTCTTTCAGTTTCACTTCAGAATATAGATTTTGATAAGAAACTTAAAACACTCAAGGACAAGCAAATGCTATTTATTCCGAGTCCTCTAAGGCAAAGGAGCCAGTGGGAATCACCTGCATTTCAGGAGAGAACTAGGGCAGACAGAGCAGGATGGTTCTAATGGAGAGAGGGGGTAGCTTTGGCCTTGGGCCCCTGAAGCAGGAGGTTACATATTGTCCAGGGCTCATATTTGGCCTTCTTGGTTGGTCTTAGTTTAAAATGGGGATAAAAATGAGCAAAGTTGCCTGCTGATAATCAAGTCTTGACCACTTTGGTTGTTATACTGGTTATTGTTTGGCTTCCTGTATTTTGGGAGAGAGGGCAGGTGGCATCCTCCAAGCTTGGCTTAGAGACAGCAGCTGATTCGTCAATGCGGATGTTGTTAGTTTGTTAGTTTTTGAGACAGGGTGACCAAGCTGATCAAAACTTTGCTCTGTAGTTAACTCCCTGTCTTTCTGCTTCCAGCCTCCAAGCTCTGTGATTTCTGTCTTGTATCACCATGCCTGGCCCAGTGTTCTGTTTTGATATACAGTCTGGCCATTGTCCATTTCTGTATCCAGCCCCTTATATGGTTTTACGAATTATAATTTGTATTAACTCGAAATATTTTATGGCACTCTTTGTTGCTTTTGGGATATAGTATTTTAAACAATGATAACACAGTCATCCTGTTAATCTAGGTTCATCTAAAAGTTTGTTCTAAATGGGAAGAAAGTGGATTGTAAAGTAAGCATCATTTGATGGAAATATTAATTACTGAAGCTATATTAGTCTCTTGGTTCCCATTGCTGGTTTTACTTTGAAGCACCCTTAGGAAACTCCCCTGCCCTCCAGCCTGAGTTTCCCACTCTGTAAACTAGAGATAATAAGCTTTTAGGGGGTGAGAGATGATGCCTGGTTAATGTGTTATTTGTTGTAACAGCTAGATGATGAAAGCAATAAAGACATACAAAGATTTTCACAGCAGCCACTTGAAGGCGCCTTCTCACTGTGCTGCAGGGCTACAGAGTAGAGTGAGTGCTACTCTGTCAGCCAGTGTGCTCACCTGTGTGGAGAATCACCCATAGTCTTCCAGAGCACATACTGCAGACCCTTCCATCAACAGGGTCTCCTTCAGAAGGCTGAACTCAGCCAAACCCTCAGGCCCAAACACTGAATGAATAGACAAGCCACAAGCAATTAACATACAAGGCTCTACAATTATAGTTTCCTAGTTCCAAAGATGAAAAGATTATAAACACATGTTAGCAGTTTCTCCAGAGAGGGAAAAGCTGGGCGTGGAGACACTGGGTAAGCATCACTGTGTCTATATTTGTTGGCAGTTTCCACATTTGTTTCAATTGAGCATGTCTTATCTCTATAGTGAAAAGTATTTAAAATGTCAGAAACCAGGAATGGCAGTATAATCAAGTATGTGAAAACAAATATTGGCTTTTTGGACTGTAAAAGTATCAGAAGTTTAGGTTTCGTATCAGCACTAACAAGGACAGGAATAAATATGTGATAGGCTGCCACTGTGTAGGCGCCGGTCTCATGCATTATCTTAGAAGTCCTGGCTGTCATTCCTCACTGTATAGTTAAGTACGAAGTCACAGAGAGCTGTGATCACTGTCGAAGACCGAGCAGACCCTGGATTCAGAATGAGCTATCTGATTCAAGAGTGATGTCTAGTTTAAAGGCGCTGTAGTTCCTTTAAACTGACTTTCACCTGTCTCCCAAGTAGGGCCTGCTGGCTCTGAGAGTCTTCCACTGAAACTCTTGAAAGTGACTTAAGCAAACCACCAGGTAATGGGCTTAAGGAGGCTGCTCTGTCAAGTCCTGAGCAGCGGGTACCAACAGTGAGCCAGAGCCCTAAAGTGTGTTCTGTTACTTTACCTGTAGAAACGAGTTGCCTTCTCAAACATTTCTAGCAACTGAAAGAGATTTCATTCAACTTGACGCGTAGCACTCATCCATGTAACTGACAGAAATGAGAAGGTTGAAGGCGCAGACAGG